CGCCTGCCCATCGCTTTGCGTTTTACACCTTATCACCTTCGAGACAGGCGCGCATGCCTTCCTTCGTTTTCAAAGATAACTGCCAGATAGCGCTCGTGTCTAACGTTCCTTGATGCACTCGTTCACCTTCGCTGCACAGGTGAGACCGCAGCGCCTCCAGAATACAATTGACCAATTTTCTCACGCGAAACACCAAATAAACGTGTTGTTGTCTCCAGACGCAAGACTACAGTCTTTCAACGACATTTGCAATGAAACATGCAAGTATGGGGCCAATTTTTTATCTGCTATCATCAAGTCCCCTATTTGCACACACCAACTTCAGTATATTTACCCTGTTGGCCGCATGGCTAGGTAGATCGCGGCGGCCCAACTTGTTCTCCGGCATGGTCTAGTCGCTATAGGATACCTGGCTTTCACACAGGAGGCCCGTGTTCGATTCCCGGTGTCGGAAGTATTTTCTTTTGTCTGCTATCATCAAGTCCCCTATTTGCGCACACCAACTTCCGTATTTTCACCCTGGTGGCCACACGGCTAGGTGGGTGGCGGTGGCCCCACTTGTTTTCTGGCATGATCTTGTGGCTATAGAATACCTAGCTTTCTCCCAGGAGGCCCGGGTTCGATTCCCGGTGGCGGAAGTATTTGGTTTTATCTGCTATCATCAAGTCCCCTATTTGCACCCGCAAACTGCAATCTTTTTACCCTGTTGGCAACATGGCTAGGTGGGTGGCAGCGGCCCCACTTGTTCTCCAGCATGGTTTAGTGGCTAGGATACCTGGCTTTCACCCATGAGGCCCAGGTTCGATTCCCGGTTTCGGAAGTGTTTTAAAAGGTGTAGCACCTTAAGCCGTCTGTACATGCACGTCTCTCTTGGTATGTGACCGCCAAGTTATATGACTCATTCAGCAGGTGCGGACGTCCGGACAGACGGACGGATGGAGGATTCACAGTTTACCGAAAAAACCCTCCGAAGCTTCGCCCCACTCATCATCATGCACTCCGTGGATGTGCTTTAATTTGTTTTTATGCTATGAAGTCTCCTGTTTGCACGAAATGATTAGCATTTTCAATATGTTGGCAGAATGGTTAGGAGGCGTGTGCTGGCTCTAATTATCTTGTGCGGAACTCCTCCATCCTTATCCGGTGGCAAAACACATTTCAAAGATTGGATCCAGGCAATCAATGGGAGTGCAAAATAGAGCCATGGAACGTCAATGTTTTTTTTTTCATTTAGCCAAGGTTTTACGGATAGCGTGCTTGTATACAGCTTAAGAAAAACATTTTTTAGCAGGTCTAATCCCCATTCACAGGACCGAGTTGACTGGCGGAACATGGGAGAGGCCTTTGTCATGCAGTGGACGCAGTCAGGCTGATGATGATGATCACGATTAATCCCATTATTTTTTAACTGTTTCAATGCATAATCTCTCTGGCCTGCGGAGTAACAATACAAAGGCATTTGTACCAGCCATAGAAATCTCTAGTTTCAAATCTTCAGAAACAGAGGACAAATCTTCAATAATGCAAAGTCGACTGTGCAAAAAACCAAAAGATTCAGCCGCTTCACATCAAATGCCCCTTGCACTTAATTCCTTCCGTCATATTTGTGGTAGTTAAAATAAAATGCAGCAGCACTTTCCTCAATTGAAATTGAGTCACTGTGCACAGAAAATCATTTGTCTGCTTGCACACGAAAAGAAAACTGAACGAAATTTCTCTGATAAGGAGATGTGACAGACCTAGCCCGCCATTGCAGACCGAACGAAACTTTGTTCTGCTTACTCTCTGCCACCTGAACAGCCCATATGAATACGGCAAAAACAGTGCATTCACGGTGCTTCAGCAACCATCGCTACTCAGTGCACGCAGCTAACAGCCATAGGTGTGCGCGTGGTGCGGGGGGTGCTAATCACTCAAAAAAAAAAGGGCGAAGTCTGTCTGTCTCATACACTGACCCAATAGGAAGCAGGGGCGCTTCGATGACGCTTCGCTTCTTCCCCCCCTTTAAGCTAAACACTGCGCATGCTAATGCTGACAGCCTTACCGTTACGAGGCACACACATCAGTAATGTGAGTTGAATTGATTCATGTTGGCATGGCGAAGTGGTTACACATTGCCATGCCAACACATTGACTTTGTAGTTTTTCCATAGCGGCTCCATACCCTAAGCGCATCACCATTAACACACACATTGTGTCAGGGGTGGATCCAGACACTCATTTTAGGGGGGCGGTCGCTTGAAGTAACACCGGAGAGGGGGGTGTGGTCATCACCTTTTTGTTTTCACTAGTACAAGAACTCTATCATAGCATAAATTTTGTTAATGTGTGCTCAAAATGGTTCCACTCATTTCTCCTGATTGCTGGTTGCAAGTGGACAGCAAGCGCTGAAGCGAGAGGGAGAAGTGCTGACAGAATTGGGGGCGGGGGGGGAGAGAGAATCGCCCCTACTGCCCATCCCCTGGATCCGCAGCTGCATCGTGTGCCTCCGGCATGCCAGAAAACATGGTTTTACACAATCAAGTGCAACAAGAATACTTTTCCTTGCACAAAAAACACTTCATTGTATTCGTTGCTTGCACATACGCAAACACAGCTTTTCTTTTCCATTGCTAGAAGCAGAAAGCGGGAGCCGAACCACAATTGCGCATTGCATAGCTACGCCTTCCGGCAATAAATAAATGTGCTACAAATCCACCTGCCACAATCTGTACAGTATATGCATTGAGCTGCCCTGCCAGAACAATCTTACCATTAGCATACTGCAAATTCAAAAAACATGAGCCACAGTTCTGCTATTTCTATTTACATGGTATCGTAATCATCGGTAAATATTTTTAAAATAAGACCTGAAAATACTAAATTATTTCATAATAGCATATATATATATATATATATATATATATATATATATATATATATATATATATATATATATATATACAGCACAAAGGAAAATTATGAAATTATGCCCTAATTGCAGGAAATGCAGGAAAAATAATGCAACTATTCAGACCGCAAGGAATGCAGAGCAATTTTGATTTTTTTTCTCGCATGGCTCATCACATTAAGATAATTCATAGTGCTCTCAAACGTTTTGTCAGTTTTCACCAGACCTTTACGTTTACCCATTTACATGTGACCATTCATTATAATTGTTTTTACATATTCAAAAAAGGAGTCAGGCAAAAATGACACCTTGCGATGAAAGATTTGTAAACAGGGTTGTGCTGCAGCCAATGTTTCGACTATTGAATTTTTTTCTACAAGGCTGAACAAATTTTTCATTGACTACATACAGTAGACTCCCATTATACGAAACCTGAAGCAACCAGGAAAGTGTGTTTGGTTTAACAGGAGTTTCTTTACTGAGAGATAAAAAGGGTGCAGAATTCAAGTACTAATCCTATTAAAGGCAGTTGTTCTATTCAAGCAGCATTTTGTTACAGATAGTTTCGCTTAATGAGAGTCTACTGTACTATTCATATTACACTATGACACCACCTGGGCCAGGGAACAAAATGCTAGCATGTACATTATATCTAGTCATTACAATAAGGATTTAATATCAAGCCATGTACAGAATGCAAAATTCAAATACAAAAACAAACCTATTAGGGGTAGTTGTTCTATTTAAGCAACAATTTCATTTCAGAGAGTTTCATTTAATGAGAGCCTACTGTACTATTCACATTTTACTACGGCACCGCCTAGGCCTGACCACAAAATGCTAGTATGTATACTATATCTAAATCATTACGATAAGAATTCAATATCAAGCCATGTATGTTACTATACTTTTATTAAAATTGGCCTTTTTGTGAAGGTTCCCACTTCTTTCAGGTCCGAGTCACTGGGTGGTTGGTGTATGGTCTAATTGATAGAAAGTGTGGCTGTGGTCAAACAGACACCCACAATTGCGTAGTCTTCACAAGATAGGTATTTCCCAGGAAACACAGTGACAAACATCTCTGAAAAAACTAAGAGAAAATGCAGCCAAGAAATGTATAGGGGGCATTCATAGTCTTCAAGAGTAGTGCAGTATAATTATCACATTATTATAATGTACAGGAACTGGTTGTGTGCAGGTGTGACTCTCCCAACTGGTCTAAGGAAGCCAGTAGGCGACCTTTGACCTGACCTGGTGGTCCTCAAGAGCCGGTGAGGACCTGGACAAGGGGCATCACTCACAGCAACCAAGCAAAAAATTGGAGAGCCCTTAAGCTTTGCCTTTAAGAGCTCAACACGATAGCGATATCCTGTCCGTAGTGCAAATGAGTTCAAAGTGGCTTATGTCAGTGAAGCTTTAACATATGACTGCATTCTCTGTAATGGGTAGCATGCTTTGAACCACCAGACATTTCGAGCATGAAATCTTGTCTAACTCGCTATGCGCCCACTACGTGGCCTCAAGGGAAAAGGCACAGTAACCTGTGTGCCTCTTGTAGAGGGTGGCCCGCTTTAAACCATGCACTCATGATAATTGCATTTCCTGAATCTCAATTCTAATGTACGTTTATACCACGCATTATTACTGCAATATTACATGTTGCATTGTGAAGCATGTATACAGGACGCATGTGTTTGTAAAGCATGCAAGTCAGGTTCACTGATTTTCCAAGCAGAGCAAGTTATTTTCACTGTATTTCCAGGAAGACACCTGGCTCAGTGGTAGAACACCTGCCACGCAAACAACCCGGGTTCAATCTTCACTCGGAACCAGAATTTTTCATTATTTATTTCATTTGCATCTTTTTCGATTTTTCGGTCACGCACAAGATGATTTTTTGTTCAACACCAAGAACGCCGACACCGAAATTTCTGTGAAACGAGCTCTTTATCACTATCATGTTAAAATTGTTTCCTTAAGGTTGTTTCTTTCTCATTACTATCCAAGTGTCCCTATGAGGAACAGAAAACAAAGCAACCATAGGAATCTTGTGCACACAGCATTCATGGGAAGGTGTACACCTAACATGCAGAAACAGGGCAACACTACGTAGGGTAATAGAAATGTTTAATTACAAAAAGCCCTACAACGTGAACAAAGGCCACAGTATTCTTGGATGGTGTCACTTGTAAATAGTTTCCTCTGCATTTTCATGGTGCGAGCAGACCCGTGCAGCTACGAACAGGTAGTCACTCAACCTGTGAACAGTGTCGATAAAAAAAAAACAGTTCTCACACCCACATGGCAATAGAAAGATACAAGAGACCAGAGTTGATCACTATCACAAACTGATGGCTAGCAATTTTATTTCTTAAACGAAAGTTAAAAAGAGTCAATTTAGCACTTCTTTAATGCAGTACAAACACACTAATGCACAGTCTGCAAGCTGAATAGAATTCTCTTGTATGGGGTACCTATGACGCCCCCCATGGTTTTAAAAGCCCCATTTATTATTGCCTACCAGTACAGTCTTCAGCTATATGGCCGACTGTTTTTGTCACTCTAAAGCATTAGTTCTACTCATGCTTTCCCTCATCATGTAGCAAACAAGCAAGTGTCATTTGTTAGGAGTGCTTTTGTCTGGGCAAATTGGTGCGACATTTGAGAAATAAATCAGCAAAAACGACGGCACAAAAGACGCAGTACAACAGCACCAGCGCTGGACTACAAACTGAGCTCTATTTGATTGAAAGTGCCTTTTTTTATTGTCACATGTCACCACCACCATGAGGCCACACACATAAAAAGCCAATTGCAGTTAAACCCCTTTATAAGAGGCATGCTCCGGGCAGCGATTTCTCTCTTTCATATGAGATGTCTCTTATAAGCAGGGTACCACGTATGCATTTTCTCATCAACCTGTATTCTACTGTAGGCACACTAGTGTCCCTTATACCCATTTTTCTCTTATATCAGTGTCTCTTACAGAGAGGTTAGACTGTAATAGCAACGACCATGAACGTACCTCTTAACAAAACCAGAATCAATGTACACTTGATTAAACAGAAGCACATGGCAATATAGTTGGATCACTCTTAAACACACATTATCAGTTCGACATGTTGCTGCGCACATCCAACTCTCTTTAAAACATGGCATTGCACATGTTCCTCCCCATCAGCACAGAAAGCAAGATATTAAAGCGACAAAAACTTGGCAGCTGGTTAAAGACGATCAATCCACAGCAAAACCAGAAGGACGAGGGTGCTCTGTCATACAGAAGATGATCAACAAACAAAACTCAGCCTTGTCTAATTAAAACCTAATACCTAAAGATTACTCATACATGGCCTTTCAAGAACGCTATCTCGTCTTTAAAGAGAAATATGGAAGGTTCACTAACAGACTGATCGCCAGTTTTATTGATGAGTAACGCCCCCATTACTTTTCCCTTCAGTTTGTTGCTCGCTCTTTTTAAAAATCTGCTCCTCTGAAACTCTGGCGCATACCCCCACCTGCGGCAGTGGTCTGCCAGGTGTCCTCCTCCAATTATTCTGCACATTCAGCCTGTGTTCTGGTGCCCTATCATTAAAGCATCGGCCCGTTGCAGACAGAAGTACAATGGCCAAATGGGCCGATTTATTTTTGCCTTGTAACTCATATTTAACTTCTCATCAGACATTCATACATCTGTTCCCGTCTTAACGATGTTACCAACCAGCCCAATTAGGTGCGCTACTGCACTTCTCATCAGACAATAAAGCGTAACTTGTCAGGTTACTTTTCAAACTCTATTTCATTAATGATTAATATATTTCATGAAGCAGGTACTTACCTATTTATATATTTCATCACAACTTCGTCCACCTCTTTTTCTAAGAAAAGTGAGGTCACCCTAGAAATATAAGGCATCCTGTCTCAATAACTCTGGAGTGTCTTTCCCAATGAGCCATGAATAACTATTACATAACAAATAAGGAGTTTAACATCATAAAACTGCATAGTGCACCGCACGTCTTCTATATTTTTGTAGAATGGGACCACCACATCAAATGGTACGCATGCGAGTAAAAACAGGGTAAGTGCTGTGGAGAAGGAGAGGGCATTTCCACAACAACAAAAAAAAGTAATTGCAGTTTCGCCACAAGAGCCAAGCTTTGAAAACATAGCAACAAACTGGAATGTTTCAAGAACTAAGGCTCACAACCAACACTTTTAGATTCAATACTGCATAACTCAAAAAAATTCAAGCGAAGAGGGCCGCACCATGGAGCAAAGTGGCTTTTTTACTGCTGTCGTTTCAACGTGAAGCAAGCACTGAGAGCACAGTCGGCATACAAGCTGTTCACAGATGTCTGTCAAGACAGCGCATGAGTCAGCGCTCGCTATTACACCATTCTGATCAAATTTCACAGCTGTTGCCTGAGCGACACAACCCACCCCACCTCCGTGCTCCTTCCCCTGACGAAAGACGGGTGGGTCACTTCCTCTCTTCTTGAGAAGCCATCAACGGCAGGCCTCAAGTGCAGGGCAATGTTATCACATGAACCCTTAGTGAGATGGAAATAACAGCTTGTTTTGTCTTTGCTTCAGACGAGTTTGTCCCCAGTGTTCACATGTTTTTACTAACAGAGTTTTTACTAGCAGAGATTTACTAGCAGAGTCAGAACTGCACTTGTTACTAGATTCAAAACCTTGCAACAGATATGACTTCTTCTGCCTCCATGACATTTTTGATGCAAGGTTTGACCGTGTATGCAAAGAAGCCACCTACAGTTTCACGAAATTCTTGCATCCCTTAGCATGCAGAAATACAAGGGTGTAATGCAGTGTGCATCTAACGGTGCTAAGCAATGACATAAGAACATGTGATAAAGGTATAAGAGCATGGGGCTGCAGTAAGCCACACTGTGAGTGGTCTGAAGAAGTGAAATAATTTTTGCTCCTATACACCTTGATCAGACGCATTTGGCACAGGAATGAAATGCAGCCGAATACCTTCGTTCAGCACGCCGGCAGACAGAGCGGGCTATGTGGAGGGCAGCACCAGCTGGACTTCCAGACTTGAAACAGAAGAGGGCAGTCTACTCAGTTCATCTTTCTAGAGTATATCCCTCTATTCAGCTCATTCAGCCATGTTCAGCCATAACTCATTCAGCCATGTTCACTCATGACTCTTATGGCACAAAGTTCATTGGACATGTACCGCATGGTCAAGAGATGACAGAGAATGAAAACCTGAAACTGAGGTTAGTGTTCCCTAAATATACAAACTGGATACACTTGGTATAGAGCATGTCGTGTCATTTTTGCGGTACCCAACTGTGCAAGAACTAAGGGTATAGAGTACCTCTTATACAATTAACTGATTATGCTAATTATACCAACAGACACTGAAAGACACAATTTTTCATACAATCACACATTAAATGGTCAGATTATTGTTTGAGCACACTAAAATATTTTTAGTGACTAGACTAATATTTACCAGCAAGCTTCGTTGCACAAATCAAGGGTTGATGTTTCTGCGCTGTTCGTGATGTTCACATCAAGACTAAATGCTAACAGACCATTAAAAAATAATCATGCTGCAGCGTCATCTATACATGAGACATACTATGAAGCATGGGGCTACATTCTAATGCGTTATCATCATGACAATACTCTGTTATTGTAACGAAAATGTCTTTGTCTTTTCTTTAATTTTAGTGTTTGGGGAATAACACTTAAGCAATGATGGTATTTTACCTATAGATCAAAACAGTGCTATAATCAAATAAAATGACAACAAGATTGCTTGTATCATGGGTCCTAGCTTTGTACACGTTGTGTAGCAGAGCAACGTTATTCATGCCCGTTTCTTCCAAGGATAGTTGCTCTTGACGAACCACCTGTGCTTACTGTCATAAAATCCTATTCATATGTTTGATACAGAAGTATAAAAACACACCAGGCTGAACACCTGTGAAGAAGGGTCATTATACAAAGAGATAAAAGCCGCAACAAAAGGTAAAGGTTGCAAAAAAAACTTGAGCTAGGTGATTAAACACTGAGTAACATAACTCATTATTAGTTTGATAAAATCCAATACACAGTCTCATATAGACTAACTAACAGAGCTTAGTAAATCACTAATTGAATCATTATATTGTCTTCACTCTTCCTGTCTTCTTCTATTCTGGTTTCTTGTCTTCAGCCCAGTTTTAGTTCTCTAGCAACAACTCACCGACCAGCAGCTCAATGTACACTCCTTGAATGACTATATCACAAACAATTTTGAGTGCAATATGTAATTGAAGTGGTTATAAGGACTAGCCAGAGTGCTAGCAGTGGTCCTGTCCCAAAGAAGTCGAAAGAGAGCTGCAGTTTCCCTGTTCGCAACCTTATAGACTGAATGTAATAAGACTTTAGACATTTACTGCAAGGACGACAAATGACTCTTGACACCAAGCAACGCTCACCATAACAGAAAGCGAGACATTTGCTGCGCATGTGAACGAACCTAAAAGCTCACCTGCTTACGTGCACACATTATTGCAATACAGTTGAGCCTCACTAATACAGTCAACTGCCGATATTTCGGACACCTGAATTTTCGCACATGCCCGATAACTCAGACATCTTCGCGGCACCGCCACGAGCCCCATAAAATCAATGTATAAGGAAGTCTAAAATTTCGGACGCTCGAACACCCCGGAGTGCGATTTTCCATACTTTTTCACGCGACGGAACGTCGGAAACCACCTCCGACCTCCAGTGGAAACCACCACAACTGTGTCACACGCGATTACGATCGCACAAATGAGCGCGCCGGTCTACTGTGGCGGCATCTGTTGCTTGGACTCGTTGATCGTTAGCGGAGAAACACTCACGGCCTCTGAGATTCCTAACACTGGCCGTGTTTATCATACAAGGGTGCTTCGCTGACAATCGAAACTATCCACCCGGAAATTTTTTGGCGCCAATAAATTTCCTTTCGCTTTAGCGCTTGTGCTCGTGCGTGCCACTTTGGCTTCCCGCGCAGCGCTTTCGCTAAGCGTTTCACCACTTCGAACTAGAACTAACCATCACACACCGATTTGGTCTGGCCATGCTGGCTATCTTGAATGTTTACAAGCGCCACCTCCGGAGTACCTGAGGCACCATCGCCTGTCGTCGCGCCATTTTGTTTACGCAGCCCACATGGTGTTTGGCTAGCCTAGTGCGTGGTTGTGCGATCGTGTGAAGTGTGCTCTGCAACGCTAAGCCTAGGTGCTTCGACGCTCGTCAGCAAACTCCTTTGTTCACATCGTGAGGATTTCGCTTGCCTGCGATGGCCCCCACTCCGCCTTCGTCGTCCTCACCGATGGCATCAAAGCGCGAAAAACTGTACCGTCGGTTAACGATGGAGAAGAAAGCCGCCATTATTAAGTTAGTGAAGAGTGGCCAATCGCAGGCTGACGTGAGCAAGGAGTTCGGCATTTCCAAGCAAACAGTTTCCGATTTCCTGAGGAACAAAGACAAGATCTTGGTAGCGGCCGAAAAATCGTCTGGTGCCCAAAAGATGAATGCAAGCCAAGGTGTTCATCAAAAGCTTGAGGACGCTCTCGTCGTTTTTTAACGGCTCTTTTCAGAGCCACCCCACTGATGCTTTGGCAGAGTTCCGAAAATCTGGTACTTCAACTTTGACCCTCTTGATCCGAGAAATATGAATGAAATGGTGCGTTTTTTGCTTGCATTGAGAAATACTAGCAAAATGGTTCACTTTTTTTTCTTGGATTGAAAATTATCAGTAAAATAATGCATTTTTTTTGCTTGCATTCATTTTTTCGAACTGCCCGAATTTTCGCACGGTTTTTCGCTCCCTAGAGGGTCCGAAAAATCGGCAGTTGACTGTACGTCCCAATTTTATACCATATCCTCGTGTGAAAGTTCAACATTTTATGTGAAACTGCATGATGTATTAATAGATTTGGATGGTACGTCCTGCCGAATAGCATGCGTCTCCTTTGTTCGATTTTTTTTATTTTACAATGTATGACCGAGGTTTCACATTATTTATCACGTGGCTGCTCAGAAACAGGCAGCTACATCCCACTTATAGACCACATCAAACAAGAAATAGGAAGAGTAAAAAAGTTGTCTTACGGGAAGGATAAAATTCTTGAGCGGTGGCAAGTTCTCGGAATGTGCATCGATCCACTGTTCCAGCTCCTTAATGTGCTCAGCCGGAAATTCAGTCTTGGCTGTAAGGTTAAATAAAATGAAATACTAAGTAACATGGGGACAAGCAAATTGGAAAAATACATTTCTCTTCCTTTGCACTTTCAGAATAAAGTGTACCATAATTAAAGAACTTTCTTGGTAAACTTCGCACTTCTGAATAATAATAATAATAATAATAATAATAATAATAATAATAATAATAATAATAATAATAATAATAATAATAATAATAATAATAATAATAATAATAACAGTAAAAACTGGGGGACCCTTAAGCTTCGCCTTTAAGAGTTGAACGCGATAGTGTAATCTGTCCCCTGGTGCACCTTCCAACCGCTAAGTGCATACTTATTAATATGTTTTGTTACATACACACACACGCACACAAACATGCACACAGTAGATCGGACCAGCACACGCTCTGAATGGGCTCGTTTTCGTCGTGACACCTGTCGAACAAAATGCGTTAAAGTGGCCCTGAAACACTTTTTCAAGTAAACGTGGAATGAATTCACTACAAGAGCTTATTGCCTCACGAATGCAACGCCGCAAAAATTTTAAGAATTTGTCCAGTTCGAGTGGAGTTACAAAGGTTTGTCGCATGCTGCAATTGCATTCTCTCTTCTCTCATCCCGATGACAGCGCTGGAAGCTAAGCAGGGAAGGATAGCAGGGCAAAGAAACTACCACACCTCGTGACATTGAGCACTTTTTTTTCTTCGAATGCGTGGCTTTTTCAGTGTGATCGTACGCGCACGCGTGGACAAGTAGCGGCCTCTCGCGGCTATCTCGGTAACTTGATTTTTCGGTCACAGATGCACAGACGATTTTTCGCTCACAACCAAAGGAGCCGACGCCGGCGGCGGTTTTTCTGCAACACAAGCTCTCTAATGCTATCGCGTTAATAATAATAATAATAATAATAATAATAATAATGATGATGATGATGATGATGATGATGATGATGATGATGATGATGATGATGATGATGATGATGATGATGATGATGATGATGATGATGATGTACTTCTGCCCAAACCCCTTTTCTTCATATGTACAGCGTGTTTATAATGGCATGTTTAAGTAACACCCATTGAGAATTTGGCTTCTTAAATAAAACAATTTTTTATCTTCAGTAATACCATCAGAGCCCTCTGCAACATGCAATGAACTCAACAGCCCGATAAACTTTGTAACTAGTAGCTTTAGATGCCCTGCTTCAAATTAAAAACTGAAGCAAACTGCATGTGCATGCAGCACTTAAATTAGCAAGGCTCCAAAAGCTCTCGAAAGTGTAGCTCAACAAATTACAGTTTTCTGTGTGCACACAGACACTTACTGAGGCAGATATCAACGTACCAAGTTTTAATACATGAATATGTTAACACATGTCAAAGGACACAGGTGAGGCAATGTTACTTTTCTATGACATGGACTGCAAAATAGCAGCTAATGTGCCATATGCTGCCTAAATGGGACATCTACACTACTGACATCTACAATCATTAACACCTGCAGTACACACCCAACAAAGGCTTTAGCTTATAGTTAAAGAAAAATTTTAGCATAACCTTGGTTTTTTTAGTCAACACTGCAACTTTTCAGTGAAACTGCAGGATTGTGACCACAAATGACTATTCAACATTTACAGGCCAAGTTGGCTTATTCAGATCACTACATCAGAATGCTGCAGTACATTATAATTTCTCAACCAATCTATATTTTTATCTTGTGTGTACACTAAAGAACTAAAATAGGCAGTCAGAAATTGTCTTTTTAGGAGTTGAGCAATCCTTTAGCTCTGTTCACACAAAGGGCCCAATCGCGATTCAAGCCTGTGGATTGCATACTACGTCAACGTGCATGACTCGTTCCCTCAGTCCCCCTTTCGTCTGCGCAGAGCAATTAGTGAAACAACGTAGGCCCAAATAGCAGTAGGGATCCTCAACGAGAAATCCTAAAAATTATTCCTTGTAACGTGACTTCTCTCCTCTCGTCTAAATCCTGGCTGTGGAGCAATCCATATCATGCTACATGTCACATGACTGATTAGTCCGCAATCGCGTCCTTCACATGAAATCAGTTTCAAATGCGATGCTCTGGAAATACGCAGAAACTTACCTCTCTGTCCCTCAGATGCTGATGACAATGGTGTTGCGATAGAAGCCTGGAGGTCTTGGAGCAAGCACTGAACCTGCAATTACCAACGAGCACCGCGAATTGAGATGTGACCCCAGACAGAAAGAAAGTATGGTGTGAGCTATAACTAGGCTTGTACGAATAATCGAATGCTCCAAATATTTCGACAAATATTACACTATTTCAATTTGCTTCAATTTGAAGTTACGTTATTGAACATTTCAAAGTATTCCAAATGAACAAATAGGTTATAAGTCCTTCGTCCTTCGGGTGCTTGTCTTATTTTCCTTTCTTAGGTTATAAGCCCGCTTGCAAGTCTCTGTAAAGGTGGTTTCACTGCAGTGAAACTTCCTAAGCCGTGAAAGCACCTATTTCAATGAGTATTAGTCTGCATGCAAGCCCCTGCAAAAGTAATTTCACTGCAGTAAAGAGACAACAAGCCGTGAAAACACCTATCCAAAACAAGTCCGCATTGCCGCGAAGCCCAACATCCAGGTTAAATGAGCACCTTAGCCTTACATCGATTCATCATTTTTTCCAGGTTTAACATATTTTACTAGTTATCACTTGCATTCTACCGAAAGTGAAATCCTGCTATTATTCAAAACTTCCTTTGAACAACAAAAAAAATGCATTAAAACAGGTCTTGTTTCGAATGTAAAAAAATATTGTGCACGCTAGGCCATGACAAGCATGCCCATGACAAGTATTCGAAATCATTCGACTAAAAGCATTATTCGCTTCCAATTTGCTTCCAACCTAAAATTCACAACTCGCACAAGCCTAGTATTAGCACAAACATACTGCTGTTACTAGTACTGCCTGCATTGCTGTAAATGTAAAATGAGGCTAATCAGATAAAGAGATGTTTGCATTTTGCAAAAGTGCATCCCCCCCCCCCCAGTCTTCTACATATACACCTCTGATGTCAATGTACAAACCTGGCAGGACAGTGCCCGTGTAATGATATTGTGCTGGAGGCATGAGGACCTATATTTAACAAGCAGAAAGTTGCATGTCAACAGCATTGGGACTGCTCTCAATCTAGGCAAACTTTGTAATGAGCAACACTGCCTGCTACTACACCGAAGACCTCCATGACTGGGCTTAACAAGTTTCCAGCCAACTGCGCTGCTGGTGTGTCGTCTTTCTTCCCATCAGGACCATTGACTAGAAGCCCTTCTCACCATGCTCAGGCAAGCACAATTGCAAATAAGTTTGTCTCTATGTACCTGCTCAAGTCCCATGATACATGGTTTACTTCTGACAAATTTTTAGAGAAAGAAAAATAGATAAGGCTGTTGACTGTCCACTTTTAACTGTGCTGAACATGACACAGAGAGCACAACGAACATAGCAATTGTATGGCCAGCTCAGTGGATGTAAATCCAGAATCAATTTGACAGAGTATACGCCAGATGCAAGGTGGTATTGTAAAAGGTGACTTTTTCGATGAGCCCGCTAAAAATGAAGGGACAACATTCTTTCCCCTCATTGTTTACAGCATAGAGCCCTGAAGTGCAAGAGAAATTCTGGCACCTTCTCTGCAAGAAATTAACTTACAAAGGCCCTCACCCATTTGAGCTGGTCGCTGACCTCTGGATGCTTCAGGACAGAGCGGACATAGCCAATGTGCGAGTTGAGCTCGTCTGTGGCACCCAGGGCCTCGAAGACTGTGTCGTCCTTGCGCCGCCGCTGACCCGTGTATGTTGCAGATGTCCCTGACACAGACGGTTCACACATTATGTAGCACATGCCATGAACTACTATGATTGTTGTCATTAAATGTGCGACATTTCGACAACTTGTCATTGGCGACTCTGTGTTCTGTGCACATACGCTGATACTAGTAGAACCATTTGGTCTGACATGCAGCACCTTGAATAAAACAAAGTTTATACATAAATATAGTTTCACAGTACTTATATATGTATCGCTCTGGCATGCTTTTGAAAACGTATTACTAATGACGGTAGCGCCTCAGAAATTTGCTAATTGGTAGAAAGGCATATACAATTGATCAGACTTACAAACAAGCATAAATTTTGAGACTGTATGTTACACATTAGGAAAATACTGATAGTTTGCATCCGTAGCTTTTAGATTAACTGTACAGCGCTTTTACGTAACCATTTGATAACTACCTTCGACGGGGTCTGTTGGATCTGCATTTGTTCACTTTCCTGTCATTCGTCTAGAGTATTTTAAATAATACTGCACCCTACAGCACGCATTGTCCAGGTGAAAAAAATGAGTGGGAATACCGCCGTTTTCAACTACTGCTTGTGGATCAACGCCTGCAGTAACAGAACAACTGGGAAACCGACCCCAGAGCTACAAGCGGATTCGTAGGTGACGTACTGGTTTCTGCTAGTAAGTTTGAATCACCATGAATTGTACTGGAATTCATGCAACTAACTGACCCAGTAACTAAGGTTCAACAAATTTGAACTTCAGCTATACTATAAGCAAGTAGTTCCTGTTGTATTCCATCTGTGCGTGCGATTTTCTCTTCTGTACAGAGCAGTCGCATTGCATGGAATACAAGGAGCGGTATTTATCGTAAGTAAAGAGAAAAGAAAGCGGCGCTATCTCCTGCAGCTTATAACGGAGCACTGCGCTGGTCGCAGGCACAGGAACAGTAATTCCATGCGGCGAAGGCGCCCACAAACCTGCGATCACACGCTTACCTTTGTCACCCGTGCGAGTGTAAATCTTGGTAAGTCGGGGGCTGCCAGAACTGCACGGAGAAACAAACACGGCAGTAATCGGCACATCACCAATGACCCAGTCACGTTAACGAAAATTACCATATATGTTTGAAATGTCACCTTATGAGGCGCGAGTTGCAAATCCGTGAGGCTACGATAGATCGAACGATGCATCGCAACGTAGACATTTCTCCCAGCAGTAATTCAATACGGGCAAAAGTGAAACAATTTCCTGCTGAAGCGGCTAAAGCTCACAGCAGACATCAAAAACGCGCGTAGGCTTGGATTGATTTGGTACAGGCTACAAAGCGTCAAGGTCTAAATTTGACTCAGAGATTGGCATCGCAATCATGATAACCGTGATCAGCATCGCCTGAAGGAAGTCACGGTACATTACATGCAAACAATGTGTGCTTATTAATGTAGTTTAGTTACAATTGAAACATGCATTCAGGGTTAATCAAAAGGTCTCATTGGCTTTTGCGGTGCTAAATGCCAAGAGAACGCGCAAGCGTCATGGCGTACGCCTCGTCTGCTAGACTTCAGACATGCCGGAACATTCGACGTGTTTGCGCTTTCAGAAAACAATAGCGCGTAGACTTCCCGAGGAAGCCTCGCGCACTTCGTAAAGTCGACCGCGTAAAGCGCTTTAATCTCGAGCCATCCATCGCGGCTCGCCGCGCAGCGTACTCACAGCGCCATGAAGAGAGATGTGTTGACGATGCACGAACGGAGCGTGTTCCGTACGCCGCCGGACTTCACGGTGCTCGCCGAGAAGTACTTCGATTTCTCGCAGCACGTCACCTACAACACCTTGGGCAAGGCGAAGCTCGACTTCAAGGATTCCGACTCGCAGCGGGCGCTGTCCAAGACGCTGCTCAAGCACTTCTTCGAGCTGGACGTGCGGTTGCCGCAGGGTCGACTGGTGCCGGCTGTGCCGCAGCGTCTCAACTACCTGCTCTGGGTCCAAGATCTGGTCGAGAAGGCCTTGGAAAGGAAGGAAAACGTCGTGGCGCTCGATGTCGGTGAGTGGGGCGGATACGATCGTCCCAGCTTTGGCCGGTCACCTGCTGATGATGCTGTTGACACGTACGCTTCTGTGAAGGAAACAGTCCGCCGTTATCAAATGCTGCTTTCTCGTCTTTTGGTCCGTAACCCGGGGCTTTTAAAGCCAATTTTCTCTCTGTTTCGCTAACTTTGTCTGCTGTCGATTATGATGTTACGATGCCCGGAGAGGCAACGCGACTGCGCCGTATGCGATATTCTATGTCGTTCTACTTGCATGACGTAATGCAACCAGAGCCCTGGCGGATCACCTACCTCCTTAAGTCTGAGGACAATAAGGTGGTGTTCTCTCTCTCTCTCTGAAGGCTGCAGCAGAACGGGGATTGTTCAGACAGAATGCAGTTCCTCTTCCAACGCTGTTTCCAGCAGAGCAGTGTTTTAGCTTTTCTGTGGAACCCGACAGAGAAGCGAACCCGCAACCAAGTGACCGATAGCGCGATCGCTTCCTGCGCTTGCCTTCTGGACTTGAAAAAAAAAAAGATTTATAAAAAAGGGGTGTCTTTTTTTACTACATGAACGTCGAAGAGTGCCTGAAATATCTTCTGCACCAAGTGCAACTAGCAGAAATAGCATATTTCTTTGTTTGCACAGTCAGTCTGTGTAAAGGCGCAAAGAGCAGAGGGTGCTTTTGCATGCGGTGTTTTACATCTTTGCAGTGCTATATAGACGTCAGACTCTGCGGCGCTGCGAAAAAGGCCGCCATCAGCGCCCTCATCGCCGCGCTGGGCATAACTGGATAGTGCAAGGAGAGCCATCCGCTTGTGAACGTGCATAAGCTCTACTCTTTCATTGCAGTTGAGGCGTGGGTTCCTAAAAATCAAGGACCTGTGAAGCTTCTTCCGTCAATCCAACCTCGCTTCAGAAAAGTAGGAAGCTCATTAAAGCAAACTGCAGGCACGATGCAAAAGGTGTTTACATTATTTCGACGTGCTGCAACTCGCAGTTTAAGTGCAAGCGAGCATCGCATGACAACAAGTTTGAGGCAAGCGCTCTGACGAGTGTTTTGTAATGCCTAAATGCATTAAATTTGGGCATACACACAATGCCAAAGGCATTAAGTGCATACATGAGCAACGTATCTTACAATCAGTGGTACGAAGTTCGCTCTATCTGCGGCACGAATAGCCCCGGTGATTTGCACCTTTTCAGTTGCATTCTTAATCTATCTCTCGCTTCCTGTGCATTGAACTGTTTTATTACGAATCTTAGAATGTTATGTTGATGGTTGTCTTCTGTTTATATATACCGCAAATGGGGATACTTGCATCTCCACTTTTACGATGTACGAAAGGCAAGACCAAGGCCTCTGAGATAACTCCGGCAATTGCGGAGACCAATGTCAAGAAAAACCTTATTGTGGTCACGACTAACATTTTGCGATTTACCTGTTTGACATACATGTTACCTGTTGCCATATTAAAGCCAGAACTTAGAGCCTTCAAAGCATACGTGTGCGATACTGCATGATGGCGACGACTTCAGGTTATCGGTCGCGGCATGTCGCGACCGATAGCCGCGGCATGTGCGATGTTTATCGCACGTGCTACAGTCTAGTGTTGCATGGCGCCACCATGGTCAGAGGCTCTATCGAGCTTCATAATGAACGTTGCCACGGTTCTCCGTCAAGGCTACTAAAAACAATAACAGGATACCTAGGTTATCACACTTTCTCATCATGCGACCAGCTGTAAGGAACATGAGTAATTCGCTTATGCAACATGTTTGCAACATCCCGTATCCAGCTCTTTTGCCGTTTTGCTTCACAAAAGCTATGGAAATCGGTAAATCTGAAGTCCTTTGCGTCTGTGGCAATTCACAATGCATAGCGTCAACTGCGTTTTTTTTTTTTTTTTTTCGTATAAATCGAGCAGCTGTTGCGTCTGCTCTTGTTTTCATCGTAGTTTTGGCAAGTGAATCAGCAAGCACTTCATGGGGGTTCAGTGACATGTCCGAATAGCCGAGAGAAATCTTTTTTTTTGGTGTTAAATGGGCAAACACAGCGAAGATTTCGCTCAATCGTTCTTGCGCATGCGCTAGTTTCACCTGGTTGCGCAGCTAACTGTGCATGGGAGTCGGGGTTTGCACTACCCAACACTGCGCCGAACGGTGGCACTTCGTGTCTGCAGAACTCCAGAGTCTGGTGTTTATACATGCGACAGTTACATAAGCTTGCATATATCAAATGTGATTATTTTGGATCAAAATGTGTGTGACACTGCAGTTGCTGCTTGTAATAATAGGCCCGCATTGGTTCTACTGCTGGATGAATGGTATTTAGCTGTACTTTTTCACGGGTTTCGCCATTGCAAGCAGCAATCAAATTTGTGACAAGCTTTTATTGAGCCTTGGATCAGTTCGTCATGTAGCACACGTGTATTTTGATAGTGAGAAGAGTAAAAAAAAGCATGTTTTTTTTTTTTTTTTTTTTTCAGTTTATACTGCTTCGTATGTCCATACGCACTGATTTTCGTCCACCTGGGGTGGAAGAGAGAAAGACAATTTAACAAGCACTAAATTAAAAAACATCACTCAATCTGTCTCAATAAATCACTCTCACACAATGCCATAAAAGAAGCTGCATTCATGAGCAGAGGCTTGCTAAGGTACAGAAGAATCGGGAACAAAAGTGGCACTGCTGCCATGAATCTTTCCCACTGCCTCACCACGACATCTAAAATTTTGATGACGTCTTCCCAGCCTTTGTCTTTATCAGTTAAAATAGTGATGTTTCAACACTGTAGTTGCAGTGCACAATCTGAAATGACGAAATTTTAATCACCATTCTCCCCTCGAATAACCAATTTGTTTGCATGAAATTGAAGAACCAAGACTTTCTAAACAAAATTTTTTTGTTAGTCTAGACAAATTTGTGCTTTTCTGTGTTGTCCACTAAGGAGAGGCAGGGGCGGGGTAAAAAAGAAAAAAAGAAGCAAGATTATTATTTTTTAGTCTGTACAAATGAAACAAAGACAGTGTTCTAACCAGCTAGAGCTTTGTAATTAATTAATCTGATATCATGGGAGAATAAGGAAAAGAAAGTTCTTGCACTAATTGTAAAAAGAAAGCAAGTGTTGGCAATAGCTTCCCAGTTCGTCGTTATCCCATCTCTTTGTTCATTACAAAATTGCCTCTCTCAGGTATTTTCGGTTCCTCCTGTATTGTGGTGGTTGATTAGTGGTTGTGCCCGTGGGCTTCTTTTTTTATTTTATTTTTTCCAAGCGTGCAGCACTTCAGAGGCACAGGCTGTCGTACGCTGCCATCTGTTGCGTATTGAGCGTGTGTGTGCACCAAGGAAAAGTCTTCTTCCTCTTGTTCTTTGAGCACTTTGATGATGATATTACATGCTGAGCACTGTCATTGCTTGGCCTAGTTCAGGCAAAATTACGTATCAGAATATACAAAGCATGGCTGATCTTAGAAACTAGTACAACACAAAAGTGATACCTGTCTTTATAGCAGTAATGCTTATTATGTACAGATATATGAGAGCTTGTGTGATTTCTATGGGAGTTTCGGAGCTATAGCATCATTTGATGTAGACACAGCTATGCTGACACCTAGTGGCACGTCGCACGTTAAAGAACCCCAGGTGGTCAAAATCTCCGGAGCCCTCCACTACGGCGTCTCTCATAATCATATGGTGGTTTTGGGACGTTAAACCCCACATATCAATCAACCTAGTGGCACGTCTTCATTGCGACTTCTATCACCTATAATCATCGTTTAACCCTTGTGGTAACTGAAGTTTTTAACATGGACCTGAACACAGTGTATCGTTAGTTATGCACAAAGATGACATTAACAAGCACACACAAAATACTTCTAGTCAATATCTGCATCTTCAACAATCTTCAGTTGATCAAAGAAACAGCACGATGTGCGTTCCTGAAACCTACGCCAGCGCTCACTCGTATCACACGCTTCAGCAACGTGGGATGCAGAGGTTTGTAGCTTGAGCCGTGAACAGGTGCTGGCGTTCCACGTCCTGCTGGTCTCAGTTTCACTCCACTGAGGCACGACATTGGAGAGTCTGCGTTGTCACCTTGCTGCAGTGCTTACCGCAGAAGTTTTAATAAATAAGTCTGTGCTATCACACTCGATGTAGTCAGCAGTGAAACATCGTTGGTGCATGTGGAAGCTGCAAAACCTCAATAATAAGCTGACACACGCTAACACGAAGCGAAAGACAAAGAACATAACTGTGTCGGCGACTCTCCGATTTTCGCTTGGTCAGAGATTTTCACTGCTGTCGAGAAGCTTTAACTATGGCCTCCAAGACTACGCACCAGCATGCAATCTCAGACGCCATGCTTTAACTGCGTCATGCTGCATTATTTCTGTTGAGCACTCACAGACGGCGGCACCGTCCCACTTCGCCAACAGAGAGCGTGGCGGAGAGGAAATGTGTGAAAGATATAAGGCGTATTCATAATGAGCCCAACAAATGTTTCAATAGCTCAGTCGCTAAAGCATTGGGCGCTTTTCCTCGTTTCTCAAGGAATCAGAGGTTCAACGCTCGGCGAATAAACTTTTTTTGATGTTTTTCTTTCTCATTAGGTCGTATAAATTTTATGACGTCATATCCGTGATGAAAATACATCGCTGAAGTCTGGCATAAGACCCTGGCATAAAATACTTTTGTGTTTAAAGAGAGGAAGCAAGTGAGAAACATGAAGTGAGAAATAAGTGGAAAAAATGGGAAGCAAGCAGAAATAAATGGAGAAAAAAAGAGCAAGATAGAGAGGAGAAACGAAAGCGAGAACTCAAGAGAACCAAGGAAGGCTGCTCAGCTCCGAACTTCATTCACACGAAGCTGCCATAATTTTTTTTTAATTTCACCAAGGGAGTTAATTATCTTTCCTTTTTTTATATCTATTTCATCGCTCTTAGAAACTATCACTCACCTGCATGACCCCCGCGTTACATGCCGCGTTACGTGCCATGACCCCCGCATTACAGGCCATGTGTTTTTTTTTTTTTTATTTCACCACAGGAGTTCATTCTCTTTATTTTTTTTTTGTATCTATCTCATCGCTCTAAGAAGCTATCACTCACCTGCATGACCCCCCGCGTTACGTGCCATGCCCCATCCCACTTTGTCCTCTTCATGCCAGCTAGAGTATTGGCTAACCAGGTTCTTGATTTGGTTCTAGGTAACTGTTTGTCACTAGAGAATGACTACGTCATATTCTTGGCCACAATTACAGCCTGAAAATGAATGCACACTTCACCCACAAAACCATCACTTGCTTATCCATCGCCTGTGTAAGTGAATAATACCAAATGGTTTTGTTTCAAGTCCAAGTTATTTCTCACTTATAATGTAAATACTAGGTATATTAGAATATATTGGTACGTATTTTCTGACTGCATTTTCTTTGGCTGAGTGCTCACGTCAGGATCTTCAATAAACTCTATCAGGAGGCTACACGCGGGAGTGCTTGACAGTAAGGGAGTGCACAGTAGACCCTCAGTGAAACGAATCATGAAGGGGCTTGGAGAATGTTCCATTTGTCAGGAGTTTCGTCTACCGAGAGATGAACTGTGGTGGAGAATACTAGTGCTAGACCAATTATACAAGATACAGTTGTTCTATTTAAGCAGCTACCTTGTTTATTATATTTCCATTTACAGAGAATCTACTGCAATTGGCCGAACCATCTATGAAAATAGTTTATGGACGGGCAACGACGGTTCTAGGCAAACTTTAGATCATTTCTTGGGTTGTAGTCAATGATAGTAAGACACTGTACAGTGATTCAAGCCATCCATAGCTCTTCTGGAGATGGCTAGCATATTAACGTGGCCTGACTGGCACATTTTGCCTACAGGAACGGGAGCATCGTGCGTGTTGGCGCTGCTGGGCCACAAGCAGTGTGGATGGGATTTCGTGGGTACGGAGACGGATTCCGCCGCCGCCACTTCGGCCGCAGAAAATGTCACCCGCAACAGCCTCGAGGAGCACATCAAAGGTGAGCACATGCTGATGATCCTTCTTTGCATGCGCCGCTGTACATTCTGCCGTGAAAAGCAGTTGAGATCTCAGAAATAAGCTTATTGCATTTGTTTCTCATATTTTCGTTAAGGTACAGCAGTGGCGTAACTTTCAGATCAAACGACTGGGAGAGAGAAAATAGACGGGAGTGGTTGTACAAAAAATTTGTGAGACGAACTATTGTAATGAATGGGTAAAGGAGTAATTATTCATTCATTTTAATTTGTTACTTTCCTTTGGTGCTGAAGGGATAACGATTAAATCCACAAAAACCTACTACATCCTGCAGACTCGTAGGGTGGCTTCACCTACAAAATCGCAGTAATAAATAGTTGGTGGCAAAACGAAGTGTTTATTATTAAATGTGAAAGATTTTTTTTGCGAACCAAAAGGCACTTTTGCAGTTTCTATTTCGGTACCTGTTTTATCTACCCAGCCGCCTATGTCTGGGAACTCTCTTGGCCATCTCCTTTAATTGTTGTGCTCTAGAATTAGCATAGAAGGACCTGAGCATATGAGAAATGCAATTTACAGATCTTGACATGAATAACGTGATGTTACTGTTGCATATGTCATGAAATCGTTGCCTCCAGCCATATGTGAGACATTTCATATTGCTGCCCGTGGTATGCAGGCGTGCGCGACCAAGACTTTTGAAATCTTCATACGACAGCATTAAAAAGTGTGTGTCGTCAAAAATCAGGTGCCTCCATTGGTGGCAATTTGAAAGATCCTTATAGAAGCAAAAAAATAAAAATCCTAGCTCAAGTCAGAATTGAACTTTGACATTGTGCATGGCAGTCAAGTTTTCTGCCCCAGACCTATGCCAGTGTTTCAGACTGCTTAAGAAAGAGATCCAATACAAGCATCATGTCAGGAGAAAGCCAATTGTGCTGCAGTGCTGTATGTCCACTTCAATATCAATGTGGTAAACATTACATGAGTACAGCCATGATTCTGTAAGGTACAATCAAGCGTTGCGTGTAGATTCCTAGGGCCACTACTCATGATATGAACATCACACCGTATCGTGCACTACATGGCAATAAAACTGATGTATCTGCTCTAACGTGAGTGCCTTTGTTACGTCGAAACAAAGATGATCCTCACATCAGGACAAGAATAACGCGTAGCTGCCACTACAACTGAAATATTTTACAAGTAAACTTCACAAAAGTTTTGTCGTTCAGTGTTGCATGTTGTTCTAGCTTCAATTCTATAGCAGGGGGCCACTTTGCTGCATCACAGCTTGACAAAATCTGTTGTGTTTAATGAAATTAGGATGTGGTATTTTACAGTTCACTTTTAATAAATGGAAATCTCTTAAAATGGAACTGAGACTTAAATGGAACAACTGACTCTTATTCGATTGCTTTTGTACTTGCATTATCTTTCAGTGAACAGAACTCTTGTTAAATGGAAGACACCTTCATGGTCCCTTCAAGTTTCGTTTATTGAGAGTCTACTGTTCATGCCAAAACCATAATAGGACAATGATGCCTCTTGTAGCGAGGGACTCAATGGTAATTTTGACTTGCTGGGTTTAACGTGCATCTCAAAATACTTGGAGAGTGTCCTTGCATTTTGCTCCCATCTAAATGAGGTTATCAGAATCAGGATTGAACCAGGGCATTATCATGAGTTCATCATCACAGCACCCTGGGCTGATAGGCCACAGGGACTCTAGTTGTGCTGAATTAACCGTCAACATCTTGAGTAACCAATGTGCCTAGCATTTTCCGACAAAATTCAGTCGTTGCAGCTCATGACTATTCAAATTTTTCAGTTGACAGGTCTGTCGTCGTACATTTCCTGCAGAATTGCAATGTATTCACAATAGGCTTACTTCGTTTACGACGACGCAGTGTTGGAGGTTGACTCACTCGTTGAGGCCGTGGAAAAGACAGAGTCCCACAAGTTTGACGTGTGCGTCTGCAACCCGCCCTTTTTCACATCGAACGAGGAAGCAGATGCCAAAACGAAGGCCAAGGAGCAAGGGCGCACTTCTCCGCCTTCCGACATGGGAGGCGTTGAGTCGGAAAAGGTACACCCATGCCGGGAAACAAGCTTGTGATTGTCATAAAGCTTGGATTTACAAAGTCGTACTAGAGCTATGTACTCTCACACCTTATTATAACAGTCATACCTGCTACGAAAATACTTTGCTATATACAAAAATTCATTATACACATATATATGTAGCACTGCATCTATGACGGAGCTATCTTTAATTTACTTTGTTATAACCAATAATTCGTTATATCTTAGTTTGTTATATGGAGGCATAAGTTGTCATGACTTCAAGAACCTTGTCAGGGCTTTCTCCTTATCTTTGCTAAATTTATTCAGCACTTCAAATATAAATTATAGTTGATACAAATCAAGAAAAACTCAATACAGTTAAACCTGCTTTAACCAACTTTCATATAACAAATTTCTCGCTATATTGAAGTTTTTCGGTTCTCCGCCCTTACTACATAGAAGCACGTGATCTTGCCGCTCCTATGTAACAATATAATAGCAAGAGACATCTTTAATATGACGAATTTTCGCCACAGAGAAACTAGGAATGTTGCCCCGGATTTCGTCATTTGGCACAAGCATGCATCTTCTATGGTTGCCCCGCCGCTGTCGAAGCAAGTAGTGACTGCGGCGGCGTGCCCGGCACGCTTGTGGCCCTGGCGACTTCCAGGCGAGAGCGAGCGCTCATTATTGCACGTGGGTGTGCTCGAGATAGGCAGGCGGGCTTGCGGCCCACGAGCCGGTGTTGCCGCTGTTCTTGCCACACCGCGGAAGCATCGATGTGCCCTCCCCCTCTCTCCAAACCAAAAACAAAATAAGAAAGCTACTTTTGCATTGGCAGTGGGCCACACTCTTAGTTAGTGTCACATATGTGGAGCTGGGCTGCATATGGAGGGTACATTACCGAATAGTTTTCCATAGTATCCGCGTCGTTCGCTATTCGTTTTTGACGTTGTGCGCGCGTGCATGCTTTCCCTGCACGCGCATGGTGTGGCCCCCAACAACGTTAAGCTTCGCTTCTTTTTTTTTTTTTTTAATGCGAACAACTGTGTCGTCACTACTGAGGGTATAACAGATTAGGCACAGATCGCTTCGAAACTACGGAGACCATGACGGATCTCTGGAGGTCGACTCATCTCGCAATTCCGTCTTTCACCACGCCGGGAGTTTGTGGGAATGTAGCCTTTGCAGTTAGCCGATTAGTTCTGCCAACGACACGATGGCGCGTTGAATGTAATGCAATGAATGCGATAGCAACAAATTGTAATGCTATACGAAGTAAGGCTGGCACTAACTCCTTTAGATCCCATATCGCGGAACTCCTACAAAACGCCGTTGTATAATACGGCCGCTCCCAGGGAGAAGTGCTCTTTTCACACAGTTTCTTTGCGTTGAAAGCGCACTGATGCTTGCCGAGATCGACACGCACCAGCGATCGCGACCACGCCCTAAAAATCAATGTTCACTATTGCTACTCAAGCTACCCCCCTCATTTTTTCATGCTCGTTCAGGATGGGTGTTTTTTTTTTTTTTTTCCATTTGAGCATTTGACGGCAGTTGTAACACGTAGGGGGTTTTATCGTATTGTGACGATGCGGGATCGACGAGCACACAAAGCGCCTCAAACAAATGTGCCTTATCGATCGCAGGAAAAAGACTGCAACGACTTTGTCTTTTGCACTCGGTCAAGGACACTCACGCTGCTTCGTTCTCCCCACCACTGGCACATACGCGCGGCATTATTCCCCCTTTGAAAAAATAAACATCGCCCCGATGTTAAACGTTCGAGAAGCAAGGTGAAACCAAAACTGCACAGTTAGTCACTGAAAATAAGGTTTCATCCGAAGCACGTGGATAATTTCTGGTGAATGTCTGCGGTGTTTCGAACACTGCACGTCGTCCGGAACAACCTCGTAGTTGGCATCACTGATGCGTCGCAGGACCTTATAGGGTCCGAAGTATCTTCGCAACAGCTTTTCAGAGAGCCCACGCTGATGCATTGGTGTCCAGACCCATACTTTGTCGTCCATGTTGTATATGACGGGTCTGTGCCTGAGGTTGTAATGTTTGGCATCGTCATCTTGTTGTTTGGTGATTCGCAACCTGGCAAGTTGTCTGGCTTCTTCTGCTAGCTGGGTGAACTCTTCGGCGTTCGTCTCATTGCCATCATTTTCATGAGGGAGGATTGCGTCTAATGTTGTCGTAACCTCGCATCCGTAAAGGAGACTGAAGGGTGTCTTCCGAGTGGTCTCCTGACGAGCCGTGTTGTACGCGAACGTGACGTAGGGCGAAATGACGTCCCAGTTCTTGTGCCCTACATCTATGTACATGGTTATCATGTCAGCCAGGGTCTTGTTGAGGCGTTCAGTGAGACCGTTGGTCTGGGGATGATACGCCGTTGTCTTTCTGTGAGCTGTACCACTTAGTCGGAAAATGGTGTCCAAAAGCTCGGCCATGAACACAGTACCTCTGTCGGTGATGACGATTGCGGGAGCACCGTGTCTTAAGACGATGGCTTTGATGAAAAATTGCGCTGCTTCAGCTGCCATTGCCTGTGGCACAGCGCCTGTCTCCGCGTATCGGGTCAGGTAATCCGTGGCGACAATCATCCGCCTGTTTCTAGTGGCACACTTTGGGAAAGGGCCCAGAAAATCCATGCCAATTTGTGCGAACGGTGTCGCCGCCACTTGGACAGGCTGCAGCAGGCCAGCTGTTTGATGGATGGTGGCTTGCGATGCTGCCAATCTAGACATGCCTGCACGTAAGTTTTGACAACTTCGGCAAGTCTTGGCCAGTAATAGTTCTGCCTTATTCTCGCCAATATTCTTGCGTAACCCAAGTAACCAGCGGTAGGTTCGTCGTGGCAGGCTTGCAGTACCTCACGGCGAAACGAAGAAGGAACCACAAGCAAGTAGCTGCTGCCGGCGGTCGAAAAGTTTCTCTTATAAAGAACGCCATTTCGCAAGCAGTACGACGGCAGCCCTCTCGCAAATAACTTCGGCACGCTATTCGTTCGCCCTTGCAGGGTATTTATGAGTGGTAGCAGTTCAGCATCGTCACGCTGCTGTTGAGAAAAGGCGGAAGTGTCCACTATTCCCAGAAAGACCGTATCATCATCGTCGTTGTCTGGGGATGCCATCTCAACAGGGGACCGAGAAAGACAGTCAGCATCGTTGTGTCGTTTTCCCGACTTGTAAGCAACAGTAAAGTCAAATTCTTGGAGCCGAAGACTCCATCGTGCAAGACGGCCAGACGGATCTTTCAAGTTGACTAACCAACAGAGAGTGGTGATCGCTGATAACGGTGAATGAGCGGCCATACAAATAAAGACGAAACTTCAGGACTGCCCATACCATTGCAAGACATTCTTTCTCCGTCGTAGTTTAGTTAGCTTCCACTCGGGACAGCGTCCTGCTGGCGTAGGCGATCACCCTTTCGTTGTTGTCCTTCGACTGTACGAGCACTGCTCCAAGACCCACATTACTAGCGTCTGTATGAAGTATTGCTGGCGCGTCTTCATCAAAGCGGGCCAGCACAGGGGGTGTTTGCATGTGCTGACGAAGCTCGTGAATTGCCTACTGTTGGTCTTCGCCCCATCTGAAAGGGGTATCTTCCCGAGTAAGCTGTGTCAATGGCCATGCGATACGCGAAAAATTAGCAATAAACCGCCGCTAATAGGCACAGAGTCCCAAAAAACATTGCACTGATTTTTTGTCTGATGGCGTCGGGAAGTTCGCCACGGCGGCAATTTTATCTGGGTCGGGTCGAATCTCTTGGCTGCTCACGACGTGACCGAGGAATTGAAGTTCGTGGAAGCCGAAGTGACACTTTTCAGGTTTTAGAGTAAGACCGGCAAAGTGTATTGCTTCAAAAACTGCTTCGAGCCTTCGTAAGTGTTCTTCGAAAGTCGCCGAAAAGACAATCACGTCGTCGAGGTACACCAAGCAGGTTTGCCACTTAAGTCTCGACAGAACCGTGTCCATGAGACGCTGGAATGTTGCTGGCGCCGAACACAAACCGAAAGGGAGTACCTGAAATTCATAAAGTCCATCGGGCGTAACAAAGGCGGTCTTCTCACGATCTCTCTCATCCACTTCAATTTGTCAGTAACCGCTTTTCAGGTCCATGGACAAAAAGTAGCGTGCGCTTCGTAGTCTATCCAATGAATCATCAATACGCGGCAGAGGGTAGAGGGCCTTCTTTGTGATCTGATTGAGCTTCCGGTAGTCAATGCAGAAATGCAGGCTGCCGTCCTTCTTTTTAACGAGTAATACAGGTGATGCCCAAGGACTGTTAGATGGCCGAATAACTCCATCTTCTAGCATCGTTTTCACCTGTTTTTGAATTGCCTCACGCTCCTTTGGGGCGACTCGGTAAGGATTTCGTCGGATGGGTCTGGCGTCAGAATCCCTGATGATGCGGTGTTTCGCAAGTGCCGTTTCACCAACTCTTGATGTGGATGAGAAGCAGCCGTGGAACTTGTTGATCAGCAAAGAAGGCGGTCTCGCTCAATGAAAGATAACATTGGACCAACGTGGACAGGTGTCGGTGTAGTAATAGTAGGCGCAGCTTCTTCCTCCACTAAATGACAATCTTCTGTTTGAGAGAGTTCGTCAAAATAAGCAATAGCTGTGCCTTTAACTATGTGTCGGCATTCTCTACTGAAATTTGTCAATAAGAGTTCAGCGCATCCGTCAATAACAGTGATGACAGCCCTGGCAACAGAAATGCCGCTAGTGAATGCGAGCTCCTTGACATGTTCAGCGATGCCAGTACCGTTTCGTAAGATGTCACAGTGCATGGATACGAAGGAACAACTTCGGGGCGGCAGTATGACGTCGTCATCGGCAATACAAAAGCAAGGTGGCTGGTGTTCCTCATCTGTAGCAGTCTCCGAGCTTGTAGCAAACGTTACGCTTATGTCACGGATATCAATCACAGCCCCGTATTCGCGCAAGAAATCCATGCCCAATATGAGCTGTTTACAGCACTCTTGAAGAATGACGAGGGTGGCGACAAAGGTGGAACCAGCGATGCAGAGTCGGGCCGTGCACTTTCCAACCGGTGTCATCAATTGACCTTTTGCAGTTCTTATATTGGGTCCGTGCCATGGCATCTTCACCTTTCTTAGTCTGTCGGCTAGCTGCAGGCTTATTATAGAAAAGTGGGAGCCGGTGTCGACAACAGCCGTCACTTGGTGGCCGTCAATGTGAACGACCAGGTCAGCGCTTATAACGTCGGTTACGTCGGCAGTTGTTTCATTCGTCGGATTAGTCGTTGCTGTCGTCGTCTTCGGCGTCGGTAGCTTCGAGCTGTCATATGTCTGCTGCAATGGAGGCTGTCCGGAAGTTCGATTATTGGCAACCCCATCCCCTGAGGTCGCTGTGTCTAGTTTCCCCGTCCCGGGCTAGGGGACCTGCCCCTGTTGACGTCGGCAAAACTGCGACGATTAGGTGAAGTGCCCCGTGCAGGAAATGGAGAACGTGACCCGGGCCTCATTGGATTCTGCGGCGGTGCGTTATTAGGAGTGTCGTTGTACGTGTGTCGATCGTCGTACGTAGGGTAATCATGGTAGCGAGGGAACATCGAGTACTGAGCGTCGCGATAACGGCAAACTCTGTAAACGTGTCCAGCTTCGCCACAATGAAAGCATACCGGTCGACGGTCAACGGTACGCCACAAATCGGTTTTCCAACGCTGGTAGGTAAGCGGGAACCCACTATTGAACCACGTTGCGGGCTTCACATTTTGGCTTAACGGCATTCGTCTTGTCGGCGAGATCGGTGCTGTTGGGAAAGTCGTCGACGCTGAAAGCGGCTGTGTTTGCAGGGTTGGTAGTGGTCCAGTCATTGGAGTCCACTGTACCGAAGGCGGCTTTAAACAGATAAATCGAGAAACCATACGACGAACAAACATGGTATCTCAAAAGAGTGAACAACATGTGACTAATAGTCTTTTCTCAAGCAGCAGGAATAATAGAGAACAAAAGTCAACCCGTGGAGCCGGCGAGAAGAAGGAGAAGGAAGATCCACACACAAGACCCGAGAAACGCAAGAAGAAGAATTGTTAGTCAAGATACAAGGCACAAGAACAAAATTATTGTAAAACCACATATCATAATGAAAAATGAAAATAAATCCCGCAGATTAAGTCGGCCTGTTCCCGTGGACAGGTTGGCGCTGGATAGTATTTCACTTTTTCCTTTTTTTTTTCTTCATCCCCTTTTCCCTCTTCCCTTCCTCCCCTCTTATCTCCTTTCTATCCTCCAAATCAACCCTTTGGCGCAAGCCCTATTCATTTTATTTCCATCGAATTAAGCCTGTTATACCTCGGTGGTGCAGGCTGAGGCATTTAATTTATGTTGTTTTTTAAGCCCCAATATACGTTCTGTTCTGTACCGAAGGCGCGATGACGGGGCGTCGGACTGCATCAGCATAAGTCAAATGTCGTCGCACATCATCATAGCCTGGTGAAGAGAGAGCCTGACGGACCTCATGCCGGATAACATCAGTGACAAAGGACAATGCCGGCGTCGGTTCTGTTGCTGAAATTAAACCAAGCTGCCGAAGCTCCTCCCTCAAAATCTCCCGGACGACTTCCCGCAGAGGCCTGTCGTTGTTGCAGAGGCTCCCCGCAGTCGTAACGGGACTACTCGCTCGAAAGTTCTGCTGGGTTCTGCTGGCAGTACCGTTGCTGTAGGGCTCGTTCAATAGCTGTGGCGTCTTTCGTGAACTCAGCTACTGTGGTCGGCGGATTTCTCACTAGCCCAGCAAACAGTTGCTCCTTCACGCCTCGCATTAGATACTGCAGCTTCCTGTCTTCCGGCATCTCGGGATCTGCCCTGCCGAAAAGACGTGTCATGTCCTCAGCGAACATAGCAACACTCTCATTTGGTTTTCGAATTCGAGCTTCCAAGAGACGTTGCGCGTTCTCCTTCCTGTTGAGACTAGTAAAGGTGTCAATCAGCTGGTTGTGAAAGTCGTCCCACGTAGCCGTGCTTCTTTCCCTGTTGATGTACCACGTCTGGGCGTTATCTTTAAGGTAGAAGTACACATTCGCGAGCTTGTCTTCTGGGGTGGCCCACTGGTTGTACTTCGCGCAGTGTTCGAACTGGTCCAGCCATTATTGTGCATCTTCATAGGTCTCACCATGAAAGCAGTCGGGAATTATGGGATTCTGAAGGGTCATGTGCGATGGTGCTGTAGTAGCCATGGTGGCTGAAGGCGGCAAGCGATTGCTGGCAGTTTCTGGCAAGGGATTGAGCTCGGGAGCCAGGCCTCGCAGACGGCGACTGAAACGGTGGACTGGTGTGTCGACGGGTGGTAGCGATTTCGGGCTCAAATGTCGGGTCCACGAAGGGGTGCCAAGCATGAAGACGTACTTAGCACCTCCACCAGTGTGACGACGTGGGATCGACAAGCACACAAAGCGCCTCAAACAAATATGCTTTATCAAAAAGACTGCAATGACTTCGTCTTTTGCACTCGGTCAAGGACACTTGCGCTGCTTCGTTCTGGCCACCACTGGCACATACACACGGCAGTATGTCGCCCTCCAAGCGATAGATATGGGCCGGCTCATTTGATCTTTGCTTCAACAGCACTCACGCACCTTTACCCGCTCGTAAAAGTTACGCGCGGGGGCATGTTATCAATTTGGATTTGCTGTGGAACATAGCGGCGACGGCGAAAATTCACGGAGTGTATCCATATAGTAATTGCTATCGCAATAATAACGCAGTGTTTTACCGCTAAATAAGTGTTTTGGGTTATCTCTGCTCCAAGTTCTCTTTTTTTTTTTAATTTGTGCATTTATTTTTTGAATTTTGGTACCAAACCTGCCTATAACGATATTATCTTTATAACGAATTTTTCTAGGCATATTTCACTTTGGCTATATCCAGGTTTAACTGTACAAGTGTTGTGCAACACAAACTCTATGGAACTACTGTATTTTCTCACGTATAGTACACACAAGATAAGCAGAACATTCGAAACTAAAGTAATGGTGAGAGTTATATGCAAATATTAGTATTTGCATATAACTCTCACCTGGCTGGCTTCATAGCACTGCTTCACAGTCATGCAAGAAAAGCATTTTCACAGCTGTTCACGGGAATTTTTCTAGTATTTATTTTCCCTCATCTCTATATGTTCGTGCGGGTTATGTGCGAGCTAATCCAGTATGATAGAACTGCATGTATACAGCTTTAGCTCAGGCCTCGTGTCTCATATTTGAATCAATAATGATATTGCTTTTATGTGTGCACCCTTCATTTACAGGTATGGGCTAATTCGGGTGAGACAGGCTTTTTCAAGGACGTGCTCTTGCGGGACAGCCTCATACTACGGGACAAGATTGGGTACGGACCATAACGCTACTACCAAAAATTACAACGCTATGTGAAATCATCTTAATTTATAAGCTTCAGAAGACTTGTCACTGCAGTTGATCAAGTCTTTGTGGTCACGAAAGGCTTTATCGTGCTTTACACTTGAATTAAGCCGTACTGAGATAAGCTTTTGCCCTTAGTGCCATGTAAACAGCATTTATCCTATTCTACTAACATAGCATCATAGAGCACAATACGAATGAAACCCTTTCCTGGCTTCTTCTAGGATACTTCACTTTCGTTTCTCTGGCGTATACCCTAAAAGCAGTTTTTTTTTTGCTGACATCTGTGTGTAAGTCTATAAGAAACATTAAATACGTGTATATTTTGTGTATTCACCGTGCTTCAACTGCGCCACCTAAATTCTGTCTGCTTTGATTGAAGCTTGACTCTTCCATCTGGTTGAAAATGCACTGATACACATAATTTAGTTCTTGCTCTTTCTGTTGTAGTTAATAGTTAACGGTCCTCTTATCAAGGCGGGAAACGTCGTTCACTGAATGGCTTCATGGTTAATTAGCTGCAGACAGTTTTATAGTGCCTGGTCACAGTTTTGGTTTCAGAGAGCGCCAAGTCGAGAGGGCCTAGAATATTTTTCAGGTGAACACAGCTTTCTACGTGAGCAAACAAAACCATGTTCACATGAACACCACATTGACGGAATTCTTCGGTGAAGACCTCCCTGGGTGCTGGTGTAATCTCCACTGAAATGTTGTAAATAGGCCTGTCCCCGCCCACAAAAAAATATGCGCTGCTGGGGCAAGCATATCAGCCTTCGCACTGCTGCGCCGTCGCGGTGGTCTAGTGGCTAAGGTACTCGGCTGCTGACCCGCAGACCGCGGAATCGAATCCCGGCTGCGGTGGCTGCATTTTCGATGAAGGCGAAAATGCTGTAGGGCCGTGTGCTCAGATTTGGGTTGAAGAACTCCAGGTGGTCGAAATTTCCGGAGCCCTCCACTATATGGTGTCTCTCATGATCATATGATGGTTTTGGGACGTTCAACCTCACATATCGATCAATCAAGCCTTTGTTCTGCCATGCGAGTTCATAAAGGAGGTGCTCTCTCATTCATTGAAAAAGTCTTCTAGGAGAGTGTGCTTGCAATGATTGTGGCTGCCATCACACACTCATGAGGCTGTTGGTTCTTTGCTTTAAAGAGTACGTGATGTTCATGTGGGACGTTTCGTGCACATTCCTGAAATGTGCACTTCGTCACTGAATTGGAATAAGTTCTAAACTATATTAGCTGCTATTATTTTCTAGATTGTGCATGCGTGTCCATGCAATTTTATTTACAGAAGTTGACTTGTCATGTAAATTTATTTACAGGAGTTGTCTTTTTGTGTGCTACAGTTAATGTCGCACCTACCATTTCTGATTCCTTTGTCTGATGCTCTCATTGTCAAACTATTCGTTTCGACATTTTATTAGGTAATTTGCTGAATGTCCGTAGTTATGTAAATTCATTCGCATTGCAGTGAAATCTAAAGAAAAACAAACCTTTGAGGGTACCGGCTACTATTCTGTGGCTTTCGTGGTGTGCAGTTGAGCTGTGACAGAAATTTTTGTACTTGTGTGCTCTTTTCAACCATGAATCATTAAGAACAGACGTACATATCCCTGAAAAGGATGGTGCACAGGGCAACCCCCTCGCTCTCTTCTCTTGACCCCCCAGTGTCACATCTGTGGAATTAAACTATTAGTTTTAGTGTTCATAAGCTGTCAGGTATGCTACAGTGCCAGCACTGTTGTTCTGACATATAAGTTACAAAAGAGAGCCGAAAGTTTTGTATTCCAGATGATTGTGAAATTTTGTTCTGCCAAATTAACGTGAACAATTTCTTCGCACTGTGCCCCACCAGGCTGAGAAACCCCAGCTCTTCTTTTAAAATGTCCATTCAAACAGCTAAAGCACTAAATTTTTCTACATTCTTTGTGCAGCCTGTACACCTGTATGCTGGGCAAGAACGGCAGCGTCAAGGAAGTACTCGGTGTGCTGCAAAACAAGGTAAGCTTCTCTGCAGGACAGTGGAGAGTGGTTGCAAAAGCAGTAGCGCGCTAGAGAGCTGTATCAGTCGTCTCATTGCTTTCAAAGCAGCGTTTGCATGTTTGGCTTTCAGCATGTCAAAAACGAGGCTTTTGCTCACAAGTCATTTGCTCCCAAACATGCGCTCCTGTGCCATTGTTCTGGACACACCAGCCATTTTTGTGTAATATTTTGTAAGACCACCGTCACCTGTGCATGTGTCTTGGAGGCCCGGCGAGCAACTTTGAGACAGACATGGGCAGTTTCTTGTGTAGTTGTAGAGTTAATAGTTTTCAAGATGTGTAGAGTCAAGTTCTTAAGATGCGTCGGCAGCAGGGGCCTGCTGCCAACGCGGGAGTTTGCTGACCTTCAGGTCGTGTTTACTTTGCAGGTCAAGTCCTTTCGAGTCGCAGAGTTTCACCAGGGAAAGACAACTCGCTATGCCGTTGCATGGACGTTTCTCAACGTCAATCTACAAAAGGTACAAGGATTTCTTCCTCTTCATTACATCATATCGCTCAAGATGGGTTGTGGAGCAACCCATTTAGTGTTTTATAGACATGCAGTGGGGTAAATGTGAGTCGAAATTTTGAGGAGATAAATGCACGTAGAATCTTCGTTATCTAATCACGTTTCACATATTTTTTGCATGGAGCTGTTGATGCTAGCAAATTCACAATGCAGTAAGTAGCCAGGGGGTTTTATGAACATAACGACCGTAGTATTTCAAAAATTTACATATTCCAAAATGGGTATTAGTTTTACTCATTAAATTTTTCAAATAAAGAATAGCCACAAATTGTCATTTGTATAAATAAAACTGTGTATTTAGAGTCAAACCTTCTAAAAAAGTCACATTTCAAATAAACAATTGGCACTTCATCATATGTTATATATGTTACCAACTTATGTAAATCTATGTCTGTTACAATGTAATATAGCAACAAAATTATTTTTCATCAACTTCCAGTTTTAAGAACTTCGTTATTTCTAATTGCTTGTTATAATCTGTGTACATCACATCAAAGTACAGTCAAACCCACGTATATTAAAGCTACGTTATAACGAACTATTTTGAGGGGTAAAACAGCTGTGCCATTTGTGCCGTTGTGCACCAAACTTGTTAACCCACGCCATCTTGCAATGAACCACCCTCGTGATGCCAGTGTTGCTCATCAGTGCCACAGCACCTGAATATAGCCACAAGGTGCGACAACCGTCTAGCCCCATGCTGGAAAACATGGTTGAAGCATTGCGTTTTTGGACTCATTTAAATGATGATGCTTACGCAGTCATCAAGGCTGTGATTGACTTTGGCAACTTTTTACACTTTCATATTGACTTTGACTTTTCGTTGACTTTTTACGATTTCATCAAGGCTGCAATTGACAAGTTTATCCCATCTTAAGGGAATGGGGCTGCAAGAAAGAATGTATAGAAACCCATACGTGGTAGGTACCAGTTAAGCCCACCTCAGGATAGCATCTTGATGGAGGTTGCCATAGCGAATGTTAAAGGGACACTAAAGTAAAATAGCAATTTACGTCAGAGTGAAATGCTCAATGTATGACAACATCTAAAACGACAATATTATCAACAACAGTGCCCTACTTACTGAGAAATTAAGGTAAATGCACAAGAACACAAGTGCCGCAGTAAGACATTTTCAAAATGATCCCTTTGACATCAGACGGACCGCCTACAAATAATTACTGGTGATCAATCTAACCACACTAAATAAAGAACCGCCTGACGTTACTATGGGGAATCGCGCGAGTGGTTCAAAAATTCAATTTTCGCAGTTACACGAGACAGGTAGTGCCATCTAGCGGGGGGGCAGTTGAAACAAAAGTGTCTGCGATCTCGAAGCCAATGGCGGGAAATTGATCGATGGCCGTTGTTGCTGCTGTGGCTCCTGCTGCTTTCGGTCTGCTGCTACTATCGCAGTAAAGCCGGGCAATGTTATGCATGGCAACAGCGACGTGAGTCGGTCCGGTCGGTCTACTTCTTGAGGCGGGTAATTTGAAGTGTGCTAAGCTGATGCAGAGCACTAAAACGAGATTTCATTTCAAAATAGGCCCTTTCTTGGCACGAAAGAAACACTACAAGGTTTCTTGACTGCCATTTTAACAATCAACTTCGACTTAAAAGTTGACTTAAGTGCCCTTTTAAAGGCCACAGAAGAAGGGAAACAAAAAAAAGAACATATAGAAGGCATTATTTGACCAGCCTTGGCAATGGAACATTTGCTGGTACTTTCCCTCCAGCTGTTCAAGCCTTTATTTCCTACACGCTCCTGGTTGTTGGCCACGTGAGCAGTGCCTCCCAATTACGATTTTTTTTTTCCAGTATCATCATGTAATTCCCTTCTCTTCGGCTAGAGTGGCTACCTTGGCACTACACGCATTCTCGGAGTTCTTGATGCGGCATTTTCACCGTTTTTCTTTGTTTGTCGGCAACGGTTGCTGTGTCACAACTAAGGCAATGAAAGTGTTTAGTTTATTGGAGGTAAAAAACGATCCTAGCTTTGTGGACCGTGACTTTCAGTAGCTACGTTTATTGAAAAAACATTTCAAGCTCTTCGCCCGTGCTTGTTAATTGGGTTTGCATTTGTAGCGATATAATTATGGATTTTCGCCTGTGATCTCGAGGTTTATCTTTGCTTATGTGGAGGATAGATTACTAGTTATGCCTTTCAACATGTGCTTTTTGCATCATCTGCATAAGTAGAGCATGTCAAGACATGTTCATTGATTGTAGCAAATGTGAGAATGGCAAACACAAACCTATGCTTTGCTGTGCCCTCATTGAAACCCCTGCTCAATAGAAAAAAATATATATGCATCTCCATGAAGTGAATCATGATGAGTATGCAAAGCAATGGGTGTGGGTAAGTTACTCTTGATATTGCCCACTCACACATGTAAATGAGTGACAACGCCTGTGTACAGTATGTACAATGTGTTTTCACTTTGCTTATTCTTCATTGTCATTAGCCACAGCACAAAGTGCACATGATGCCTTACAGATGTGTAGTGCATACCTCACTTATCAGCAGAATGACGAGTGGCATAGTATGTGCTACCCTACCTCATGAACGTTACGGTGGGCCACGTATAGTGTGTATCTTGCGTGTGCTGTGCCAGACAACAGACAACACACAACGGACTAGCCTAGACCCTCAGGTGCTTCACCCCTAAAAATACTTCTAAACGGCACACTTGTCTTACTGGAAGAAGATATGGGCGTATTTTTACAGCTGTCATACTACCAGCACGAATGCAGCTAATGAGAGACACACTATATAAAACAGAATGAAAAAAACAACTGAACGTGCATATAGATACATACCTAAATAAGGCTATTGTGCAATTTAGCTTAGTGTTTGCTAAATGCCACATTGGACAAATTATATTTTGACAAGAACTGTGAAATGGGGTTACATCTGCTTCGAATAACTTTTCTGACTGCTCCAAACTTGTTTGGACAATGCCTTTGTTAACATACTCATGTTTATTAAAAGATCAAACTGCAGTCAGTCATCAAATCAGTGGTGGTCGTTTTGTGACTGTGCAGCTTCCATACTCCAAGGTGCGACAGCAGAAGCAGCAGACCAAGATTGAGCTGGTACTTCCGCAATCGCAAGTACCGCTCACTCTGCGGGTTCACTACGTCTGGCGGGAACTGATCAATGCCCTGAACTCTATCGAGGTAATCGCCTTGGCACACTGTATTCACGGGCACTTTCTCTTCTCTGAGAGTGGTACTCTAGTGAAGTCCGGTCTCGTTTTAATGAAATCGAGCCTCAACCATGAATACTCGTGCCAAATCATGCAGATAAACACTCCTCATTTGTAGTGAAACACAACTTATTTACGGCAAATGAAAAGTGCTATAACATAACATCCCTAGAAAGTGAACGTTTAAACATGAAGCTGCGTTAGATTGGCACTTGTCTATGTTTTTTCGCTCTATTCCGGTTGTGGTGGCACTGGTGTATTTTTAAATAAATCAGGAGAAAGTGTTACTATATAGCAAAATCAGCCTTCATGGGCTAGCTCTCTATGAATCCAATCCCTTCGCTGTTTCCGTGAAGTATCAGTCCTATATGTACGTGACCTCCAATATTGGCTGAGGCAGTTTCTTTGGCTTCACTGCACGTGCAATCCGGCACACTTTTTTTTTTTTTTTTTTTTTGCTGTTTGCTCCATTTGTTTTGCGCTATGGTCACTCCGGATATTTCTCCTCTTTCCTGGCTTTTCCTGTTGCTCTAATTGGATGCCATTGTGAAAATGCATTCTGATGCAAAATGCACGATGCAATCCACCAACGGTGCATGTTCAGCCCTTTGAGATGCCACCTGTAAGTAAGTGTTTGTAAATGCTTCTAATTGATAAAGTTGTATTGCAGGCATTCAGTAATCTATTTCTTCAAACTTCGTCACATAAATGTGAATTTTTGTGTGCTAATAATTACTTTTAATTAAAATACATATATAACTAATTAAAATATCATATAACATATATTTACTCTTATATTGTTCATGCCATGTATTTTTATTAATGGAACGCTCGAATGCTAGTGCAAATCCATTTTTGGTTATGTTCATTTGGAGTGAACAAAAATTATACTTTTAGGAGCGAAGCATCTTAAGGTCGAGCCATGTCCCCAGTTCCACTTGTACTGGAAGCACTTGGTGGATAGCGTGGAGGTGCCAGCGCTCGCTCCCGGTGCGTGCGCTGGTGTGAGAGGGGACCGCTCGGGCGCTGCGACGCCCCTAGAGCTATAAAAACGCTCACTTCCGCCGCTGCCTCTTTCTTTCGACGGCTCGCTGCACAGCAACGCAATGCAAATTTTCGGGCTCGCAGAGCGGCTGCAGCACGGCAATGCAGACAAACGGATCCAGATTTGCGGGTGCACAAAGCATTCTCATCGACCACTTAACCTTGCGGTTCTCATTTGCATGCTCGAGTAAGCAGTGTACGGGTTACCCGAATGATCCCCAGAAGCTTCCCCCGCTCATCATCATTCACTTCATGGATATGCTGCGAATTTTTTTGTGTGGCTCACAAGAAGCAGTGTGCCAAACGATTCGTCGAATATGACAGTGCCTTTAGCAAAGTGATCATATGCAGCAGTGCGTATGATCACTTTGAAATAGAGTTAAATAGAGACGCATTAACTATGTGGGAGGCTCATTCCATTCAAATCTCATTATTTCTTGCTCTTTTTTAGCCCCTAGTCGACACAAGCAGTGAAAACAACAAGTGGTGTACACGATTGTGAAAAGGCAGTTTGTGAAAGATGCATTCGTTTGCCTTGGCAGGTCCCCTACGAGATCATCAACGAGGGCCAGAACATGTGCCACCTGTGGGTTAAGGCCAAGGAGAACACGTGGACGCATCTAAGGCGGAGGCGCCGGGAGCTGGAGCGCCGACGCCGCGCGCAGGAGGAGGCCAAGAAAGCCGAAGAGGCCAAGAAGCCCAAGGACGGCTCTATGGATATCCAGCAGGCACAGGACGCACCAAAGCAAGGTCGGCTGGGACGATGTCAGTAGTCTTGCGAGTTTATTCGAGTCATGGCCTTAAAGCGGCCCTATTACACTTTTGAAGCAGCTTTTATTATATGTGGTTTGCGTAGACTGATGGCCAAAAATAATCTTAGCATAGGTCTAAGCACCAATATGAAATGATTTGCATACTAGTGATGCAATGAATTCGCTACATCTCTGCAGACCAATCGGCGCTCTCCAAAACCGTGGTGGGCGGAAATAATGACGCAGGGTGCAGGCCCATCATTGGATAGATGTAATGTCGGAGTCAATCGTGACATGGCATTGAAATTGAGATCACTAGTGTGTTTCATTTTTCTTTTCTGTGCTTTTTAATTGAACTCGAAACAGATGCTAGCACAAAAAATATATATATATATGTTCAACTATAAACCACAACAGAGGTACTGCTACCATTTCGCCTCTGTATTTTTTTGCTTGTACTGGTCTATTGGCTCACAGTTGTTGGAGAAGCGGTGCAAGCAATTCTCTTCATTGAATGTATATGTCGCTGCATCCGCGTAGTTCGTTGGAGGAGCTCATCAAACAGCCCGTGAGGGGACAACAGCACTTCACCGCCCTGGTCGTTTCACTAATTCTCTTCTCAGATCGAGAAGGTGGAGTGGCTAGGAATGTTTATCTGAGGAACAGCAGTCAGTACCTACCTCGCTTCAAAACAGTAGTGTGCGCTCACGTTCTGACAAGTCAGGTGTCAGGCACCACGTTTGTTGCTATGGTAACTACGTCAGCAATGCAGTTGAAAGGACAAGCAGCAATTGCATGCGAGCTCCTTCTGTCGGAGCTTCCAGCTCATTTCATTGGGGATTCCTCAAGCATCACAGGGAAAGCGCAGTGTGGTCCTGTGACCCCGCAAAAATTATGTTGAGGGTAAATTTTTTGTATTTTTTTTATTTTCTAGATCGAATATCTTCGGACTACATGCCACTATAGCTGCCCTTTTCACTGCAATACTCTGTGCGTACTTCAGTCCACAGAACCCGCGATTAAAAAAAATGGAGAGGTTGAATAGTGTTGGAAGGCCCGTTCAAAAGATGTAGGGTTAACAAGTGTTCGACACTCACCATGGTGGCTACGAGCGGCCCTAACTAACACTCCCCGCTTTAGATGCTCAAAAATACCTGATAAAATAGATGAGAGGATCACTGCCACTGTAGCTCTGTTGGTGGAGCATTGGTCGTGCTATGTGGAGTTTGTGGGTTCATTCTGTATTGGAAGCAGGTGGTGTGTGCACTTTAATTTATTTACATCTGTATCTTAATTGCTACCCTACAGTTGTAGAAGATTACAAGTCCCCAATACCTTCCTTGGCCTCATTGTTTGGCGGTTTGTAAGTTGTACATAAAAAATACAATTTCCTCTTCGTTCACTCAGTGACAAACTCAGTCAGCATGACTGCATGTTCACTTACAGTACATATGAAACAAACTAAAGATTTAGGTTGTGTTGTGTCATCCTTCCTCAATTTCTAACTTTTTTCTCAAGTACAATGCAGAAGCACGTGTGTGCTTTTCAGGAACATTGTTATGTGCGAGTTGTCAAGGCAAAAATGCTTTACCTTGTAAATACGTCTCTAAATCATGGTTAATTGGGTAAATCTCTTCGGTTGCTTAGAGAGATGATGGAAACTGCTCCGTTCACCCCAGCGTAGATGTACGTCGTTGAATGAGAAAGAACTCCACAAGGCATTTTCACTCTGACAAGCGCACAATGGTCATTTCAAATGAAATTTCTCACTCCTAAGTGCCCACACCTTAACCAAGTGCCAAAGCCTGGCGTGCTGCCAATCTCCCCAACAATGCACGTCACAGAAGTCAAGCGCTTTGGGTTTAACGATTTTCAAGCTTGTGGCACGTGCACGTCCTCTTTCTAGAGCTGGGATAAATCGGCAGCAACTGCGTTGACTGATTTGAGCAGAGAAAGCGATATTTTTTATATGTGCTAGTGCATCCTCCTGAACACCAAAAATAGGAAAGCACAGTAGTGTGGCACACTAATAGGCTTTTTGAAAGCACAGTTCTTGCATGAAATCTGTCAGTTTTTTTTTCTCTTACTTGCAATATATAGTGATTTTCGTAATCTAAAAAAAAATGGTTGTCTAATGACTTCACATTAAGGAAACTAATGGAATGGTAGTCCAGAGGCAATGTAACTTTTGAACCTCCCACGTAGTTTTCAAGAGAGGCTGTTTGTGTCTGACTCTTGCTTTTGAGACCATTTTCAAAGCTTTTTTTGCCTCGGTGGCTGTTTCTCAAAGAGAAGTTGTCCCTAAGATGAGAGTTCACGCAGCGCCACCTAGGCCAGGAAGATGCGTTCTTGAATAATCAAGTCCATATGTGTGCCCACCATCTTGTGCAAGCTTACAATACACTGCAATAAACTTCAACGATACAAGATTGAGTAATGACGTTACACGTACATGCTACATCGGGCTACTGCTGCAGCGTCTCACTGGAGTTCACGTCTTACGTTCACCTTAATATGCAAGTCACTAGGAAGCTGTTAGTAGTTGATATTTTAGATGTATTCAAGCATTATTCTGTCTCTGTAGCCTGAACTGTTATTTGCTTTTAGTGCTCCTTTAACTGCTTCCAGTGAAAATAAATAACCACCACACGAAAGAATGCACTTTCGCACTTCAGTTGTGTTCGTTTTGAGAAACCAACACTTGAACATAATTTTAGCGCGGCTCTCTACAATGTCCTCTGTAAAGCTGTCGTTCCCTCACTTTTTTTTCTTTTTTTAATATTTTAGAGGCCTCTATCTCAGAGGCACCTGTCAGTAAAGAAACATCTGATTCTCAATTCACAGAGAAGCTATCAAAGTTAGACGGGACCGCAGCTAAGCCGGCTGGAACTTCGGACGAACTTGGTAAAACAGAGGTTGCTGAACAAGAGCCTACCGAATCTGCAAGCGAACTGGTCGAGGAAGAAAATCCTGCATTGGAGCTACGCGAGCTGCCGGCCGCCCTCTCTGAGAGCTCCACTAATGGGCCCTCGTCAGAAGCTGAGCCAGGTGAATCCAGCGACGTGCCAGCCGAGGAACAGGAGTTAGCGTCAGAGTCTTCCTCTGTTGCCTCAAAAGTGTGGGATCCTTCTGCAGCGGCCGCACCCTCAAATCACGCGCCAGGGCAGTCAGATCTCGAACCACTGCCCGAGCAGTTTCCTAGTTGGTTGACCCCGAAAGAGGCCATGGAAGGAGACCTTGCCTACGATACTGGTGGCTGCGAAGGGGGCAGTGTGAAAAGGAAAATGGGAGACGAGAATGCCCCAGACGAGCCACCAAGCAAGGTTCAACGCCAGGGTCCCAGCGACAAATCCTCTGAGGAAAGCATGGTAAGTGCGCATATACATAGATTCCATGTTTCTTAAAGCTCTGCTCTGCTGACATGGGGCACTTGTAGAAAATTTCAAACAAGGCTTGAGCCTGCAGCCAACAAAATCCACCTTCTCCCGCTGTCATAAATTATTTACATTACACTAGGTATCAAGCGATGGTGAGTTTTTTTTTTTATAATATGTAATACTGAAGTAAAGCATACATTGCTTTCTTTTGCAAAGGAGAAAGGCAGCATTTATTAGCACTACAAAATCAGCTGGCAGGTAATACGTAATTTGGAAGTACATAGAGCTCTGTATTAATACAGAACAAAAGACATTGTTCTGTTTATTCTTTCTCATAAATATGTTTAGCTGTGCCTAGTTTTGAGAAAGCCTAAAAAAAAAAATCAGGGAACCAGCATTTGCGATATGAGAATCTTCTAAAGCAGAGCACATATTTATGCATCCTGATCCCATGTGAAGTCGAGCCAACCACAAATGATTTGCCATGGGGCTGCAGTCTTCACCCGACACTTAACAAAGCATTCACCACAATTGGGCATGGTCCCTGCAAGATTGTCATTAGGGTGCATTTAAAAAAACATATAACTTAAATGTAACACAAACGTATTAGTAAACTATCATTTTAGAGCATAAAAAAAAAGCTCCTTCCACGAGTCTGTACCATGTGCCAACAAAGGTGTCAAAGCAAGCTAAGTGGCAACATCGCTTTGAACTTCCTGCGCCAACTCATTGCAATAGTATGGATTTTCACTGCAACTTGTCCGTGCTTTGTTAAATCTTTTTATCAGCACTGATACGTTGCGTTGTATGCCAAAGGACCTGATCAAAGTAGTTGGCAAGTTCTTATAACTTGTGCTACGCCAATGTGGGGCTTAAAGGGACATTAAAGAGAGAAATGATTTTTGCGTATTAATTAAGTGCAATTTTGCAACCCCAAAAACACCATTCTTACCAGGATACAATGCTTAGTAATCGAGACAACGTGCGAAAATTAAATTCAGGTGGAGACGCCACCTGCGGTTCCCGCACCAAACACAGTGACATCATGATTGGAGGCACCTACTGGGTCGTACATAGCTTTTAATCGATTGGACTGAAGTACATTGTCATCTGTGGGTGCTATAGACTTAGCATACTAAGTTTCGAAAACTTTCATCGAGCCAATGTCACGAAAATATGAAAAACACTTTTTGAAACTTCTGATATCACATGTCGTGAATTCAACGCAAAATTTAAAAATGAAACTTTAACCTTAACTTCAATGGTAATATTTAACTTATGATCGTGAAACCTTTGGCATTAGAGTTCTCAGAGTGCAGTTTGTCAATCTAAACCAAGTCATTGTTAATATGACGTGAAGTTTTAAATCATTTACATCACAATGGTGTGTAGCTTTCAGTGCAAAACTCATTGGCTGTCCAACTTTCGTTTTCTGTTCAGTAGCCTACCTCTTGCAATGACATCGGTCAAAGTATTCTTTTTTAGCAATACCTAATGCATCTAAGCTAATTTGGGTTTCTTTTTCATTTCCATTTTCTTTTTTATCATTTTCATTCGAATTAGTCTATATGGTGTAGAAAAAAAACTTGGAAGCCCTTGCCCTTTCGGGAAAATGGGGGCAAGCAGAGTTAGCGTGTGCGCGTCGCTTCATAGCGATTTTCTTCTTTTCAACTACTGCAATGCAACCTCTTGTTTTCTTCCTCCACACTGTGAATACGATCTTAATTAATGTGCCTAGTGGCACAACTCTTCAATTGCTACAAGCAGCGACGACAGACGAGGTTTCGTTGCCAGACAACCCAAAATGGCAGGGTGTCTCGATAAAATATCAGATTGCCGTGTCACAAACAGTTAATTGCTGACAAGCCCCGGACAGAGGGAGCGCTGGTTATTGAAAAATGGCGCATACAAATGCGCATGGAACGGGTTCACTTTCGAAGGCCACATTTACAGGCATGCGCGAATATTTGAGCACTTGTGATATTCAAACAAAAGTTGCAGTATTTCAATTTGTTTTGAAATTAATAAAATTATTTGAAATGAATAAATAAACACATAGTTTAAACCAACGTTTCCCATAAACCGCGTAAAACCTTTTGTAAAGGTGGTTTCACCGCAGGAAAAGGGTGCTATGCCGTGAGTTTACACATTCAAGAAAAACCGCACTGCCGCGAAGCCCCACTTCAGCGTTTAAAAACATATTGCCACACATTGATTTTAATTATTTTTATTTTGAAAGCTTGTAGCATCAGTTTATATGCTACAAGTATAGTAAGTTTTAAAATGTAATGCATTTTACAGGTAATCACTTGCATTATACTGTGTGGACGTCTCGAATTGGCGAGCGACACATTCTTGGAGTGAACGAACACAGCAGACGCGGTCAAAGCAAACCAAACAACTTGCATACATTTATTTAACTATTTTAAGAATGACGATATCGTCTGCTGAATTATTATAACATCAATCGTGATCAACACGCTAGGACATCCTTACACAAAAGTAAACAATACTCAACAACATGACAAACAAGGCGGTGCCGCTAATGCCTGACTCACTACTCGGGCCCACCGCAGACAGCCTGCGGTGCCGTTCACGGCAGACCCACTGCTGGAGGCAACCGTCCGCACTACCGCCCCACGCCAAAAAAAGCAACTCTCTCGCCCGCCACCAAGGCTTGCCTTCCGCCAGGGGTCACTGCCGACGCTACCGCTCTACCAACCATGATAATGACAGTGGTGATCACCGCTCACGAAACCAGCGCCACCTATCGCTCAATAGTTGTCACTCCCAAAATACGGCTTCTGTGCGAGATACATGCGCCATGCAGCCCAAACGACTTTACAGGGGGTGTCAGCACCTCTACATGCTTTCAATCTTAATTGAATCTATATCCCGAAAAACAAAGAAATTAGCTACACAAGCTCTAACAAATCATGACAACACATGCCCCTACATAATGTCCGTGCACGACGACACCACCACCTATCGACACTGCTGCACTGTCCGGCTCGACGACTTCACCTCAGTACCGGTCCCGCAACAGCAACATTGCCGTCGGCGTGACGAACCGTCACTCGCTTTGACAAGTCTTCTGGTTGTGACCAGCACTCACGAGGGCGCCGGACTGCAGGCAGTTGCGCAGGTCCGAGGCAACTCTATCGCCCGACCTCAGGACTGCATTCCTGGCCAGCAGCGCTGACGATGTGCAGAAGACAGCCAGCCGCGGGTCACACCACTCCCGCTGCGTACATTCCAAAACACTCTAAAGAAGAAGGCAGTTGGGCAAAAGGAAGGGAGCTTCAAGCTCCTGCCCACGTGGTACGATGGTCAGTACTGCTAGCTAATACATCGGCGGCGGCCGAGACGCCCATCAAAATAAAACAAACATCGCGTTTCCTGACTCGTGCGTCGCAAAATAAAAGTGATGGAAGCAAAGTGAAACATTTCAACGCCAAAATCCACCTAATTGTGCCACGTGCGACAGGCGGCTGCGCAGAGCCTTAGGCCTAATGAGTCGCTTGACAACAACCGGCGTCCACCTAGCACCCAGCCTCTGCATAGAAGAGACAGCCGCAAGGAGATATCCGCTCTGTAAGGTGGCTCTATCGCTCACCCGACACAGCAGCTTATCGAGCGATTGGCGCCCACTGTCCCGGACAGTGTCACGGCGTCGAGCCGCAATATCAGACAGCAACGACGCCCGGCTCCCTGAGTCCAAAAGAGAAGAAGCTATTTACAGAAAATTGGGCCACCTACGAGGCTTCTATACTCACTCGCTTCGAGCCTGGCCTACAATCCACGTGCTCTAAGCCTTGCTCACCCCAGGATGCAGACCACATGGTTCTCGTACTCAACTGAACAACGTTCTTAAAAACCAATCACTACAACAACAAAAGCACTTGCGAGCAGACAAAAAATACAACTAAATGTGCCAACAAGTTCAAACATGCCGCAACAACCGATCTCGTTCTCAACAAAGCACACCGCCGACGCTAGCAATGAGAAGTCCCCCTAGGCCTACTCTACCCCGGCTCTAACAAAAACTTGTACCGAACCACAAAAATTGTCGGCCGATGCTTCAAAAGCTCCACGTTGGGCAGCCAGTGTGTGCGTCTCGAATTAGCGTGTGACACGCTCTTGGAGTGAACGAACACAGCAAATGCGGTCGGAACAAACCAAACAACTCACATACACTTATTTAACTATTCAAAAACGACAATATCGTTCGCCAAATTACTATAACATCAATCCTGATCAACACTCTAGGACATGCTTACACAATAGTAAACAACACTCAACAACATGACAAACAAGGCAGTGTAGCTAACGCCTGACTCACCACGTGGGCCCACCGCAGACGGTCCGCAGTGCCGTCCACGGGAGACCCACCGCTGGAGGCAACCGTCCGTGCCACCGTCCCACGCGAAAAAAAAAAGAGACTCGCTCAACTCTCTCGCCCACCACCAAGGCTTGCCTTCCACAAGAGGTCACCGCCAGCGCTACCGCTCTACCAACCATGATGATGATAGTGGTGATCATCGCGAAACTAATGCCACCTGTCGCTCAATAGTTGTCACCCCCAAAATACGGCTTTTGTGCGAGACACGTACGCCACGCAGTACAAACAACTTTACAGGGGGTGTCAGCACCTCAACAATTGAAAGTCAAATTCTGCGACAATTATAAATTGCTTCCACATTCCTTTCAACTAAAAAGAATGGCATACCTTGCTTCACTTTCAAAAAATATTGTGCAGGTTAGTTGGGTCGGGATAAAGATGCTCATTTCTCTTTATAATGTGTGATAGATACTCTTCGAGTTCACTTCAAACCTGAAATTTATGACTTGCACATCCCTTCTTGTCATTTCTTTATTGTTGCGGGCGCCAAATTTTTTGTGATAACAGCTGTGACACACGACAGTTGCGAGGTGCTTCAAGCTTCGGTTGAACAGTCATTATTTCACTATGCGAGCCCTGGCTTTCTTGTGTAGTGTTACAACCATCGTGCGGCTTTGCAGGATGACATGGCAGCCGACGAAGGTGTCAGAGGGTCCAATCCTGAACCGGACGACGCCCCATTGCTTCTGAGCACCGACATAAGAGTGCGCCGCTTCTACGCCGACATCGTCATTCACATGACCATCCGCAGCGGCCAATCAGACGTTGCGCACCAGTTGCTGCAGTACATCAAGAACTGCCTTTGGGGAGTGTAACTTCCCCTGCCAACTTGTTTGACGCTGAAGTCCTCGATGGCTGCATTTGTCTTTTTTTTTATTCACACTTTCGGAAACTGTTATTTCGTGTGTCACTTCATCTGGGTTGTGTGAATGTGCTGGTGCGAAGAACTGCTGCGAGAGAGGGGTGTGTGCATGGTGTGGTGTGAATGTTTCATTTGGTCGCAGTGCACATTGAATTATATCAAATGAAAAAAATTATGTTTGCACGTTTTCAGGCATACTTTTTTCCCTCATTGCAATAAAATTCCGTACATTCTATAAAGCATGCTTCTTCTTGTATTGTGTCATTATGCGTTTTTATTTTTTCTTGCTGCGAATCAAATTAGTCCCTAGTGATTGTAAAAAATTGCTCTTCTGTTGCAAACAGTTGGATTTCTTGAGGCTTCTTTCTGTCTCAGTCACAAAAAATAAACATTCTGTGGTTCACAATCGAGAATGCTACGTCACAATAATGTCACCTGTGCTGTTTGCAACCTACAAGTATAGACCATTTTACGTAAGACATATGAGCGCCGCCACCATGGCTTTCTAAATGAATGTTTCTTATTTTTGTATGTCGTGCGTGAATTGATCAGGTCAGGAAACATCGAATGCAGTAACCCAACTGTTCTCATGTGTGTTCATTCACTATAGCACTGTTCATTTAGTTGTTCAAAGTATAAAACGATAATGTTAACAGCCCGACATGGCAGCACCAAAACCCACTCATAACATACCGTATAAACCAGAATATAAGTCGAGATATTTTCAATAAAACAAGGAGCTAAAGTCGCCCCTTGTCTTATATAGCGGTGTCTAGCCGACAGTGCACCGCTGTCTGGCAACATGTGGCTTGCATGTGCATGAGAAGCTGGACACAGCCATATTCGCATTCAAATGAATAGCAAGTTGTCTTTTTTTCTCTCGTCTGTTTTTTTTGTGCTCGTGATTTGCCTCCGATCTCTTCTAAGTTATCGCTCCGCTTGACATTGTGTTTTATTTTTAGTGGTCTTTTTTTCGTTTGCTGAATATGAGTAGCCGTGGGAGAAGGTAGTACTCAGCTGCGTTTAAACTAGAGATTGTTGAGTTCGCAGAAGCGAATGGGAATATGGCTGCTCAGCGCCGTTTTGGTGTATCAGAAAAAAGCGTTCGCTATTGGAGGGTGCAGAAAGGAAAGCTGCAGATGTGCAATCCTCGGAAAATGTCATTTCGGGGGCGAAGTGCAGTTCATCCGCAGCTGGAGAGTACGCTAGGAAACTTGGTGTGGGAAGTTCATGCGTGCTCTCTGCCAGTGACCGTAGATGCCATCCGCAAGAAAGCTGTGGAACTCGCTCGAGAAGCTGGGCTCACGAGAGAAGAGTTTTGTGCACCAAACTCTTGGGTGCGTTGATTCATGAGACGCAAAGGATTTTCTTTCCGGTGGCGCACATCCATCCGTCAAAAGTTTCTAGACGAGTTCGAGGACAAGCTTATAAACTTTCAGGGCTTCGTGAACCGGCTTCGGGAGCAGAACAACTACATGATGGGGCAGATTGACAATGCTCATGAGACCCCCATGTGGTTTAACATGCCTTCATCGACCATGATCATGCAGCGTGGCGCCAAGGATATGAAGCTTTTGTCCACTGGCAACGAGCACCCGTGCTTCACCGTCATGCTGGCATGCATGGCAGATGGTGAAAAGCTTCCGCCCTTCATCATTTTTAAACGTAAGACAATGCCGAAGGAAGTGTTCCCGCTCAGTGTTGTCGTTCATGTCAACAAAAAGGGATACATGGACGAGGCCATGATGCTCGAATGGATACGAGTAGTCTGGAACCGTCAGCCAGGTGCACTGCTGCGTCTTTGCAGCATGCTGGTGTTAGATGGGTTTTGTAGTCACTTAACAGAAGCTGTGAACCACGCACTGGGCGACTAAAGAACGGACCTCGCCGTGATACCAGGTGGTATGACCTCTACCCTCCGACCGATCGATGTGCTAAACAAGCCATTCAAGGACCGAGTGCGGCTGGAGTACCAAAAGTGGATGGCCGGCGACAACACAGACACCGAAGGGCTGCCTACAGAGGCCTCCGCTTGCGACTCTTTGTGGCTGGGTACTTTCCGCCTGGCGTTTCTTGCCAGATTCCATGGTGGAAAACGCTTTTAAGAAATGTTCTATCAGCAACGTATTGTCGGAGGCGGCCAGCCACAAACTCTCGTCTTCAGAAGATAGTGGTGCTTCGTGTGACGAATAGGAACAGTTGCGATGGTGGTTGAGGGGAGCTCCGACGATAGGGGTACGGTGCGCCCAATTCGCAAACAAATGTTTGGCAATTTCGGGTTGTTTTCCTTTTTTTTCGGTAATCTGAACTTGGGGGGTCGACCTATATTCCCACTCGACCTATAGTCCGGTTTATACCGTAGCGTACTCCCTCGATTTGTGTGCTCTTTATCTAGGTAGGAAGCAGTTTAAGATATCATTCCAGCTCAGTGCACACAGGTTTGAAAGGCAAGCAATGGCCAGAAAAATGGAAAAACGAAAAGAGGGCACTTCAGCTTTGCCTTCAAGAGTAGAATGCATTAGCGGAATCGAGCCCCTTTTGCATTGCCTTCTCACTCGCTAGCCTTGTTTCACTGTTCAATAGACACATAAACCATGCTGCAAAGAGAATAATGGCAATGCTAATTACATTGACCATATGTAACTGCCCTGAAATATGTACAAGTACAGTTGCAAAATGGCCACTATGCTATAATTCTTCGCCTTTCAAATTAGAAAACTACCACTCGCATCCGCAAGACGATGAAATATACATACGCGGTAGTAAAGTTTTCGCTGATAATGGGTATTGAATTTCTTAGCGCTTTGTAATAGGCAGCAGTGGGTGGCTCTTTAAATCACCCATTCATTTTGCAGTTCGCACTTTGACACGCGGCGTGATTCTATGCTTGTGCCATAATACGTTACACCCATCAAGGAGACTACTCACACTAGTTGACACTTGGAATGTATCATTTTTTTTTTCTACAGAAATAGTTCTGATCAATGCAGGACTTTGGTACAATACCTGCTTTCATCCAAAAGGCCTGGTTTTTATCCTCACTGGAACCAGGGATTTTAATTTTTTTTTGCATAGAAGAAAATGCCAATTTTTCGCTGAGCCAATCAATCAATGTAGCCATTGAAATTACTGTGTAAGAAGCTCTTTAATGCTATGGCATCACGAAGTAGCCACAAGTGTGAAAACAGCTTTTTTTAATAAGTAACTGCTAAAGCCTTTTGGTAAAAATATCAATAAGTACAGTCTTTCCAAATTAAAAGTGCTGAGATCAAACATACATTTCTTGCTTTAGTGGTCATTTTGAGCAGTGCACTGTTGCAAAATTGACACCGTCAAATCATTTTGCGTGACATTGCATAGAATTAGTAGTCTTGTGGTGACAATGAAAAATGAGTATGGCAAGGTTGACGCATAAATTATATTCATTTTCTCAACCATTTTCTAGTGATGCCAAAGTGCGAACAGTCTATAGTCATGAGTTGTAGTTTGTACCTAATATCAAGAAATGGCACAAGTAGTTAGTCCGATACTTGATTTCTAATGTCAATTGTTTGACATATGCAAATATGTTTGTGATATACAAATTGTTTTCAATTTTTCTGTTTACATACAGTTACGACTAAAACTCCTTAAGCGATATAGGTGGTCTGAAAATGTCGACAATTTATGCTCCAAATCTCACGACCGTGATATTGAGCACACTCATGTAATTCTCATTTTTGTGTAATGCAAGCGCCAAATTAAATTTTAGAAGCTGAAAACACTCATTGGTTGCGATGTTATGAGATCGCAACCAATGCATATACTCGAACGCGAGTGACTGCAACATTTTCAGATGCTAATAATTTGGCACAAATCAAGAACAACAAAGGAACCTAGGCATCTTTTTTTTTTCCTCTACCCACAGTCCATAAAGTATAGCTTGAGATTCTGGTGGCACTTGGTATTGCAGTGCCATGGTGGCCTTGAAATGTAAACAATTGACATTAATGTAACACTTGCGTGTTGTCAATGTTTCCATGCAATTTACTTACATGGTTTAGTAGTTCCATACTCCACAATTGGCTGCTCAGTGACTGCATTCTGTTGAATCAGACTAAATTTCACTCGTTTGTTAGGCCAAGAGCGTTTTGGTAGCTATGTGGGCAAGTGACTTTTGTGAGATATGTAAACATATTCATAAACATGCAGCTTTTGTTGAGGTTGACAAGCCACTATATTGTACCGTGCCAAATGTGCTGGCCTCACGCTCTTAACATGATCAAGGCCTTAATTCATGCTAATTGGCTGTGCATGGATTGCATGAATGTTGTAAATCAGAAAGGTACGAGTTATGCAAAGAGAATCTGGCATGTGCAGTGCATTAAGTAACACTTTTCTATACTTTAATTAATCTTTAAAAGCCAGAATTTTTTTCTTGCCGAAGAAAAAAAAATTTAATTGCTTAGTTGTGCTGGCATGCGAGCTAAGGATGCATCTAAATTAAGGTACATGAGGAATTTCAGTATGCCAGACGAAATTTGTAAACTACATTTTAAAAGACCGAGTTGAACTGGTCTCTTGTTTCATTCATTATATCCAGAACATTAGATATAGTGCAAAGATGGGTTTTAATTTACATACCTGAATATACCATATACAGTATGTTTCACTGGCATAGCGAACACTCCTATAAACAGCATCAATATTGCTGGCCCTTTAACAGCAAGTAAATAATGTAAAAATGTCCATGCACATGATTAATATGTCAAGAGGAGTCAGAACTAAGCCACTATACTTCTCTAAAGTAGAGAAACCTAGACACGCTGTAAATGCAGATGTTAACTTTAACACTGGATGCGTATGTACATTGCATATTAACCAATTATTAGTTCAGGATTTCAAACAAATGCTTCACACTACATTTGTTACCTTTGTACATTCTTTTGTCGGTCAGGCCATTGTTCCACGCGATGATCACTGTGAAAGGCAGCATCTGCATGCTATATTTGTGGTCGTTCAAAAAGAGCAAGCCAGTGCAGCTGGTCGCTTTTTGCGTGCCATCTCTGTATCTCCAATTATGCTGCTCCCTCTGTCTCAAGAAAGCGGGAAGTAATTAGTGCTACCAGTTGGTTCACTTCTTTTTGCAGAAGCATTGTGACAGCAGGTGCTAGCTGCTAGTCATAGGGTGTAATGAGTTCCTGCTTATTCCTAATGCACACACATGCCATGTTCAGTAATTTAATTAGTATACAAATGTTTATAAAGACAATGGTGCACTAGTTCAATGTTGCAAACACTGATGCATAGCTGCATTCAAGGATTCATTCTGAATCTGGGAGATTAATGCAACGGATAACGGATGGGGGGAGGGGGCTTCGCGATGGATTTTTTCCCCCCATTTTTTTTTTGCACTAAAAGAACAAG